TAAGGAGAAGCAGGAGGGTGAGACATGCGAGGAGGAGGAGAGAGGAGAGAGGAGAGAGGAGAGAGGAGAGAGGAGAGAGGAGAGAGGAGAGAGGAGAGAGGAGAGAGGAGAGAGGAGAGAGGAGAGAGGAGAGAGACAGGAGGAATAGAAGAGAAGGAGGAAAGAGTCACCATCGCGTCCGCCATGTCGAGCAATCGCTGTCGCTCTTTCACGTCAACAATGATGTCGGTCCGATTGAGACGTTCTTCCTCAGGGCAAGTTCGGTTGTTGGAGAGGATCATGTCAAACTTCTCCTTGAGGTCTTCCAGCTGCTCCCGGATAACACCTCCTTCCTCTGCTCTCCTTCTCCGAATCGAAGACTTTCGTTTCTCCAGCACAGGATCCGCGCTCCCCGCCCCTTCTGCCGCCGCCTCCTCTCCCTCCTGTGCATCGTTCTCCTCGAGGCTCGGGAGGAGCGCGAGGAGGCCAGGAGAGGAGGAGGGGACGAAGTCCAACGGCTTTGAGCTCCTGCTGTTGAGAGGCTGCGCAATGATGGCACTGTCGTGTCCTCCCGAGAAGAACCATCCTCGCATGGCTCCGTTCCCCAGCTCCAGGCACGAGACTCCTGCCTTCCTCTCCCCCCGCTCTCTCCCTGCTCCTCGACCTGACGGGAGCCTCCACAACAGGCGGCGATGCCTGCTCCTCTGCAGCCCACCCTCCAGCGACGCCAGGGTCTTGAGGTAGAGCCGCCCGTCTGCTCCCCCCGCAAGGAGAACCTCTCCATCCTCGCTCACGGCCAGGCTGGTGCCGGGGGAGGAGAAGTCTTTACAGCTGGACATCTCCCGCAGAGAGAGCGGGAGGAGGGTGAAGGTGAAGGAGCGGAGTGAGCGATCGGCCAGCCAGCCGACGAGCCTCCCGGCGTTGGGCTGCGAGCTTGCGATCACCTTGAAGCTGATCATGGCGGCTGGAAGCACAGCGCCCTCCTGCTCCTCCTGTCCTCCCCGGGTCACCGCCTCCTGCTCCTGCTCCTCCTCGCCATGCTCGGGGACGGGGAGGATGAAGAGGCGTCGGGACTTTGTGCTGACAAACAGGTGGGTCTGCTGGTACATGTCTACCGACAGGACCTCCTCCATCTGCAGGCGCCGGAGGAGCGAGACGGAGCCACGGGAGATGCTGAAGAAGACGACGGAGCCGTCGGAGGAGGCAGAGAGGAGGAGGGAGGGGGAGGGAAAGGAGAGGCCGAGGACCCTTGAGGAGTGAGCAGGGCAGGAGAAGACAGTCCGGGGGGCCTTGACGTCGCTCATGTCAAGAACCATCACTTGTCCGTCCTCGGATCCCAGGGCTGCCACCTTGGCCTCCTCGCTGAGAGCCACAATCGAGAGATTGCAGTCGAATCGCACTGAGCTCAGAAGCCTCATGGCCGGGGCGAGCCAGACAGAGAACAGACCACGGGAGCCGACGACGCAGAGGACAGGCATGCTGGCAAAGGCTCGCATGAAGAGAACACTGCCAAGAGACGGTTCGAGCTCCTGTGGGAAAGTGAGATGACAAGGGGGAGAGGGGAGGGAGGGAGGGGAGGAAGGGAGGGAGGGAGGGGAGGAAGGGAGGGAGGGAGGGAAGGGGCGGGGAGGGAAGGAGGGAGGAGAAGGGAGAGAGGGGAGGGGAGGGAGGGAGGAGAGGGGAGCGAGATATCAGCATCAGCGAGGGAGAGGGAGCACGAATGTGCTGATACCGAACAGGTTTGCTCCTCCTCAACCTCCTCCTCCGAGTCAGACAAAAGAGCAGGTGGGATCTTGTAGGTTACGATGCTTCCTGTTCCCCACAGAGTGAATGGACGACCTTCACAGGAACCAAGAGCAACACGGCAGAGTAAACAGAGCAAATCGACTTTCATCTTGACGGATTAGACGAGAACGAAGACGAAGATGAAGATGAAGATGAATAGGAGGAAGGAGGAGTAGGCGAAGAAGAAAGAGAACAAGATGATGATGAAGACGATGATGAAGATGGTGGTGGTGGTGATGATAAGATTCTTGCCTTGCGTTGTCCCCGCAACAAGCCTATGGTAATCAGATGTAAAAGAAATGCTTGAGATGGCTCCCTGACTGCACTTCATACTCATTGCAACCTCGTAGCTGTCATTCGACAACCATATCATCTGCAATACCAACATCTCAACAACTTCCCCTTTCAAACCAGCTCGCTCACCTGTCCATCTACACAGCAAACAAGAAGGTGCTTCATTGTCACTGCAAGGGACGCTATCCCGCAATCTGCCACCCGAGCCCACGACCTCCCCCCTACCCTTCCTCCCGTCCTGGCAGACACATGCAGAATTTCGCCGCCATCGCTCGCAAGGAACAATGTTCCCTCTGCCCCCCAGCAGTGATGGACAATATCTCGATCCTCTTTGTGCAGATCACCGACATAGCAAGAAACAACTTCGTCATTCTCCTCTATCTCCCACAGCTGCAACGTTGTCCCAGTACTTGCGAACACGTTGGTGTTGGCAGGGTCGAAGCTGACGTTCACGGCTCGTGACATCTTCGCCGAGATGGACGACAATTTGCACTTCTTCCTCCAGTCCCACAACATGATGTTATGATCCGGAATGTCGCCAATGGCGACTAGGCGGTGGCTGTGTCTGCACAAGGCAAGCGCGCAGATCCCTAACTCACCATGGCAGGAGAGGACCGCTACGACCGCGTTCTCCTTCACATGGTGCACGAAGATTCGCGGGTCCTCCAATGATTTGTGCCTCTCTGCGTACGCTATGATCCCTTGCTCCCTGCACGTCGTTATCACCCCCACGTCAGCTCCTTCACACCATCGGAGCTCCTCCTCATTCGAGGACGCAAGTTCATCGTCTGTTGGACATGGCGCGAACCTGATGGGAAAGGGAGTTATGAGACATCGTTGCAAGAGAGCAGGATGACAGGAGGTGAAGGATCAAACGGACCTCAAGGCATTTCCACAAAGATGTACATAGCGCGAGTCGCTCAGTACCGCGACTTCTCCTCCGCCATAGCCCACAGCGTTCGCCTTTGCGTCCAGCGAGTTCATGCCGAGGATGTCGAAGAAAGGCGACGACTTCCAATCACTGGACCATCACTTGATCTCGAGCCTTGTGAAGGCAAACCGCCCAGCCTTCTGCTGAAACCGATCCTACAAGTCCCAAGACAACCTTTCCAATGCCTTCAAATCATCGCACAGTCTCTCAAACTTGGCGTCCTTCTCCTGACTTCGAGGCTTGTTTGCTCTCCTCTTCCATCCTCTCCATCCTCTGCTCTCCTCTTCCTCTTCCTCTTCCTCCCTCCCTCGCCTGGTGCCTCGACCGCATCAACACCGCCTGCCGTTGCCCGAGATCTTGACTATGATCGCTTTGACTATTTTGCATAGAGAATACTCAATTGACTATATCGCCACTCAGAGACTCAGGCTGCGCCGCCGGCGGCCCGCGGATGACCCGGGGCCCGGCCTTGATCCCGAGTCCGGCATCTCCGCCCCGCAGGCCACCGGAGCCTGGGAGACTCGGACTTGTCATCGGTGGAACCAAGAGCGAGTCCGGCTGGCGATCGACATCACTGTCAAACTTTTAGGACAATGAATGGACTTTATTCAAGAAATAGAGGATGATAGACGAGCTGGAGCCATCTACTGCTTCAAACTTCTCAACGAACGGAGCGCTTCCTGCAATGCATCGCGTCAGAACTAGAACAGAGGTTGTCAAGGAGAGAGTATAACCGGATTGAGAGTAATCTTTGGGCAAGGGCGCTCCTATCATGGCACAAGCGTACATGTCAGGAAGCATGACGGGCGAGACAGGCAGGACCTGTAGTCGAGGTGCTTGCTCCAGCTTCAACCGGAACGCTTCAATCTCTTCATCGACATCCTGTGCAAACATCAGCCACTTTGAATGAGAGCAATAAGATCACACCTCTTCATCGCCATCACTCTGGAACATATTTGAGAAACTGGAGTCACCAAATCCATTCATCATCTTCTCCAGGACATCAGCTTTGTCTGAGAACCCATTCTGAAAAATCCCGTCAGCAGAGATCGAGACGATGGTTTGAATTTGCACCGGAACAGTAGGAATCGGTGCTGTAGATCGCTTTGCTTTCTTGTCAGCTGTCTTACTTTGCTTCACGTGCGGTTGATGGTGCTTTCCCTCAGGAGACGATTCATCTTTCTTGTCTGAACTCTTTTCATGTGCAGACTGATCCATGATAACGTTGCTCTCCACAGGACTGTCTGAATTCGACGGCTCTTCCTGTCTTGTACTCGGGTTCGTGCTGCTTTCCTTATCCCTGTTCCGTTCTTTTCTCTGTGAGGAGATTAGGAACAAGCGATGTATCGTTTTCATGTTGTGCACCTCTTTCTCTCTTTGCTTTTTCTTTTTCGCCTTCTCCTTCTTTGATTCCTACACTCAAAAGTTTAGCGCTCTAATCCAGGGCTTGCCAATATTTTCTCACCCTTGCAAGTTTCTCCTGCTCTTCATCCTGAATCAATTCCATCGCAGATCGCTCGGCCTGAAAAACCAAAATTGAATTCCTGTCAAAAAAAAAAGGAAACGACACATCCAAAACACAATACCTGCCGCTCCTGCTCCTCCAGAGTAGCAGCATCTAGGATCACTTCTGGTTCATCAGTACGCTGCAATTTATTTCGGAGACTTTCGCGTTTGATCGCACGCTTCAACAATGCATAGAGTTTTGGCGCAGGTTTCATTTCCCCCAAGTGCTGAGCAGCAGTCTTTCCGAAGGTATCTTGCTCCAAAACAGAAGCCTGCTTTTCAAGCAATCTTTCCGCACATTCATATGTGCAAGTCGGACAACCAATTCCCTGGAGAAGCAAGAGGTGCATGGCATTCCTTCCATAGCAGTCCACCGCCCGCACGTCAGCCCCAGCCTTGAGGAGCTCTAGCAAACAATCTTTCTTCCCATTGCTGCCGCAGGGGCCACCATTTGATGCAGCTAGCAGCGGCGTCTGCATTTCGATGTCCACCGGATCCAGAGGGTGACCTGCTTCAATCAGCTTAACCACGCACTCCTTGTTGCCTCCCAGGACAGCAGCGTGCAGTGGGGTGAGTTTATCCTTCGCCCGATAGTAGAAGAACTTGACTTTCCTTGAGAGCATGAGGTCCAAACATTGCAGGTTTCCTTGAAATGCTGCTGCATACAAAGGAGTCGAGCCATCTGGGTCTTGGAAGTCAGGGTTAGCTCCGCGGTCTAGCAGAGCTTCAGCCACATCTCGATTGTCGAAATAGCATGCATCAAACAGTGCAGTCGTTCCAAATTCACCCAGTGTATCAACCTCTACCTTTCCCTCATCAATCAAGACCTTGACGAAATCACAGAAACCGCTTTCAGCAGCAAGATTCAGCAATGGTGACGGCATTTCTCCTTCATCCTCCAGGGCATCTATGTCGAGGCCTGCATTGTTGCGTAGAACATTCTTCAAAGCTTGCGCGTCACCATTCTCACAAGCCTTTTTCAGTTGGTTGAGGATCTCAAGTTTCTTGGAGGCCTCTGTCCGGTGCAAGCCTCCCTTGGACGTCACAGAATGATTGTGCTGGCATCCTTTCCCACAGTCTGAGGTACATGTAAGGTGCTCCCCGTTTGCTGCCTTGACGATGGCGCTCTTGCTCCAGTTCGATCGGATGCGGTTCCTTTCTGTCACATAGTCCTCTCGCTTCATGTCCCCTGACTCATATCGAGCCGCAAGGTTCCTCAGTTCTGCTGCTGCCGCTGTAGGAGGGGTCTGCATTGGAGGGGGTACGCGCGCAGCAGGTGTGGTTAAATGAACATGATGATCTGCCATTGCTGTCAAGAATGTTAGTGAGCCCTATAAATCAGCTCCCTCGCCAACATGAGACGTCACCTGCTGAGATTACTGGCAGTCCTTCCAGTCAGCCTGGAGGACGAAGGGCTGCCCCTCAGAAAGGACTGAGGCACAGAGGCAGTCTATGACGCTGCAAGTTGTGGAGAAGCAGCCAACTCTTGATAGAGGAGCTGGAGATGAATATGGGCAGAGAGTATGAAGACCTGTAGCCCAGGCAGGGGGGAGGAGGGGGGAGCGGGGGGGGGGGAAGTAAAGGGGGTCGGAGGGGCGGAGTGAGGAAAGGGTGAGGATGGTGAGGAGAGGCGGGAAGGAGGACCACCGGTCCTTTTCTAGTCACATAGTACACAAAAGGGTGGGTAGAAAGTCAAATGGTGATGCACCGGTGGTTCATCATAGACAGCATAGACCCTGGGTGGGGTAATTTGCACTCGAGGGAGATTGGGACAAGGGGTGAGGTCACTTTGAGACTGTCAGACAGGGGTGGGTGGGAGGAATGTATGGGGTGGGTACTGGGGAGTTTGTTTTTCAGAGATGGTAGGGGTGAGTACCCACCACATCAAAGGTCTGGAGGTCAGGCCTCAAATACGGTCCTTCAAAGAATATGAAAAAAAATTGGCGGGAAGGGGGTAGCTGGTACAACTGGTACAACGTTACATCTGTAGGGGTGGGTAGTTGATGCGAGCCAAAAGTGTTGAACATTAGGGTAGGGTGCATCTCTTAAATGCCTCAGGGGTCCTTGCATCTAGCGTTCCCTGGTGGGGTAGTCAAGCGTTGTGGTGCACTGAAGAACAGCAGCGGGGAGGAGGAGGGGGTGGCAAATGCATGGGGTGGATATCTCCTTGCTCGATAATAGGAGGGTACCATGTATTCTGAGGGGTACTCCGAAGGGAATTTACCGGGTACTGGAAGACTTTGTGTAAAGGAAGGGGGGTCCATGAACCACCCTTCCCACACTGAAAAATGATTTTGTCGTGCATGGACCCCACCCTCTCAGGTATGAAGCCTCTCTACCCCTACATCTCACCACTTTTTTACCCCCACTGTATCACCCCTACCCTCACATTTCAGATGAATAATACCTCCACCAAATGAATTCTTCACCCTCACACGGCCAGTTCAAGTTCAGTGTAACGGTACCACTTGGGTTTCGGGCCGCCGAGGCCGCCGGGCCCGCCGGGTCAAACTGCTGCCTTCTTGTCTTTACCGAGGCGGACTCGAAATTCCTAGTTCAATTCTCATGCTTGTCGGGGGCCGAGAAAACCTGTAGCGAAGATGGTGGGGGGGAGGATCAGGCAGTGGGGCAAGAGAGAAGAGGTTGAGAGTCGATACCACACAGTTTCTTGCGTTGTTTTCTGAACCCTGATAGTTCATGACATGCTCCTCAGGCTGATCGCACTGTGAAACCCCCGCCGACTCAACATGCCGGGGAAGAGGAGTAGAACCTCTCTCTTTGCACTAGCCTCGTTGGCGATCGCCCATGAGATCTGTGCCTTCGCTGACCATGGAAGCTTTGGATTGGTGATCCAATCACATGCGAACCTAGCACTGCGAGGAGGCTCAGACTCGAATCCGAAGGCGACGAAGGTCACTTTGGACGAGACCAGATTGCAGAAGATGCTGGGAACGCCCTACACTCTAGACATGAGCAGAGATCAAGACAGACAGATGGTGATCAAATTCATCAAACAGCATCGACTGGGAGGAGGTAAGTTTGTATCGCCAAAGAGCTGCCATGGTTTTGAGGACTTGATCCTAATGACTGATGGCTCTGAATCTTCAGGAGAGTTCAATGCTGTGGTCCTCAACGGTGTAGAGTACAATCTTCCAGGGACAAACACTCTTGTGAGTGAAAAGGAGAACGATCACTTCAAGGATATGGTAGGATGTCTGCTGTCCTTCAATCGTGTGTTTCTCTTGCTGAAAACCCTTACAGAAGGGAATGGGACAGAGTGCAAAGGGCGAGAAGAAGCCTTTGAAGAACACAGCAGCAGACATCCTTCGGTCCAAGGTCTTGAGCTTGTTCCCATGACGACTGCGACTGACGAGTAGCAGACCAACTATCGCGGGTTGGAATACTCAGAGGCAGAGTTGGCCAAGTTGCCGAAAGCCGAAGTCAATCCTGCCAGGCAGGAAACGCGTTGAGCTGACGGACGTTTTGCAGGCAGAGTACAGGAGGGAGCTCATGGCGCGTTCGAAAGAGGTCGAGTGGTGTGCTGTGAAATTTTCATCTGAGTGTGTCCCCACTGCCTGCAGGAATCGAAAATGGAGATGGGGTTTGAAGGGATCCTACAAGGAGGCGCTACTGTTTTCCAGGTTGCCTCCTTTTCGAAATGGTCTTTGCAAGCGTTGACTTGTTCTTTCCAAGGACATCATGCAAAGATTCCGTAAAGACGACCAATCGGCCGGCGCGAGCAATTTTGAAGACCAGCTACCAGTAAGAAGGTGCAGTGGTATGTGTTGAGGCTGAATTGGCTTCGTCCAAGACCAAAGGGATCCTGCAGTTTCGATTCAAAGCAAAAGAATCGAAACTGACGGCTGTAAGTGACAAGGCGATCGAGAAACCTCAATGGGCCTCGCTCAGGACTGCAGCCGTTAGCAGAAAGGCTTCTCAGGTAGTAGAATGCGTTTGAAGGGCTTTGCTGCTGGGTTGACATAAATCAGGAGGATGACAAGGTCAAGCAGCCTTCAACGCTTGAGAGCGTTGCGGCAAAGTTCTCAATGAGTGAGGCTTGCTTCTTCTTGAGTACTGCGAGCATAACACTGTCTCAGGATACGCTCTGACCCTCTGCTTTCAAATCATCTGGCAAGTCTTGGAGATAGCCTTGAGTATTGTCTCTGCCCTCAAGAACGGCATTCTTTCACTATTCCGGGGTCAATCGCATCAGTTGAAGGAGATGCGGCAGGCGCGGGCTACGATTGTGAAATAGATAAGAATTATGAATAAACCAACCCCGCACACTCATCTATACTCAGAAAGACAGCCTTTGAGTACACGTATTCATTTCATTCAGCAATAAAAAGTCTCTTCAACTGTCAAGGACGCACCCACTCACTCCCATCACCTTGCATCCCGTCTAAAGTCCAGGCTCCCCATAATACAAGGTTTACTTTACTTTCCAGCGTGGCACGTGTTTGTTTTCTTGCAGGAGAACCAGGTCCAGTGCTGTCCCTGTTCATAGGCGTCACTTTCATTCCCTAGCAACCAGCACAACCCACCCATGCGTTCTTGGGAGCCTTAGCAGCCTTCTTATCGCCCCAAAGCATAGTGAATTGATTCTGTGAGCTAGAGAACATCTGCAGCAGCTCATGTCAATCATAGCAAGTTGAGAAGGGATCCTCATCGATTGTGCTATTATCAACGAAGAACAAAAATCTGATGAATCACCATCAATGGAATTTCTTTGGTGAGGGGTGGACAAGAGCTTACAAAAACAATGTGCATCATTGCATATATCCAATAAATCTAACAAGGCTGCTTTGCATGAGCCCATACATGGTCAATGATTCAACTCATGCACGAACCCTTCCCTTGCACTTGGAAGGCTACTAGGAGGTTCTGTGAAAGGAAGATCTGATGCTAGAGGCATAGCAAGAGCAGGGAAACATCATCTAAGAAACAACAGTTCCTCGTCTCGTCACGAGTTGCAAGCGACTTCGCTGAGCGAGCATGCGAGCGCAATTGCGAAAAGCCAACGCTGCATCGTCAGCCTTGATGGTCCGAAGAGCCACAGCAGTTACAAATGATAACGGCTCTACCGCTTCAAACGATGACATGTCTTTGAGGCGGGTCTGGATCTTGTTGTCTGAGTCTGAGGCGGGTCGGCTTTGTTCCAGAAATAGAGCATGGCGGGCGGAGAGCCCGCCGTGCGGGTAGAGGAAGGCAGTGGGGAGGGAAGAGGGCAGAAACAGCTGAGCTGCTCTGCTTCCTCCTGCTCTTCATCCTTCGTCCTTGAAGTTGGATTGGGAAATGCCAGTCCCTCAAACTCATGCCGGGCCGTTCGACGAGGCATCGTTGCCGTGGCAGGAATAGTAGCAGTGGTCTGCCTCCTCTTCGTCGCAATGAGTGACGGGACATCGCTGAGGGAGGAAGGAAACTTTCTGCTATCGTCACCGCCATCCTCTTGCGTATCTCCGCCATGCTCCCCGAACGTGTTCAGCAAAGATGAATTCTCAAAGCTTTCCCGCAACATGCGCGATGGGAAGGCTGCTCTGCCCCCGGGAGATGAGGCAGTCCAAGACGCCATGGCGGCCGTGCTGGACGCGAAGACGAACCTGCAAGGCATGCCAGAGGTCTCCAAGTCAACTCCTGCGATTGCCGCTCCCGTGCAACAGAATGTGGCGTTTCAGAGCCAGTGGGCGCAGATGCATGGGGGGGCGTCGGCGAAGTATGTGGTGAAGACATCGGGCAAGGAGAACAAGTTTGAGGCTTCTGAGCCCCCCCGTGCCGTCCAACAGAAGTTTACCTCGGGCAAGGACTGGGAGTCCAAGCAGAAGGAGCCCAAGGCTGCCAAAGGGAGCACCTCGGGGGAGGCAGATGGAGGTAGCAAGACGAAATTGCTCAAGGCGATGGAGCACATGTCCAAGGAGGGACTGCAGAAGCTGCTGAGGATTCTGATCGAGTCCAAGTCTGCGAGAGGCTCGGGGTCTGGCGGTGAGCAATACGAGGGGATCAACGCTCTGCTGCACCGAGAGGAGGACGCGGATCGTCACCGACAGGCCAACGAGCTGCATGCTGTCCGGGAGGTGATGGATGACCTCGTGGAGAGGATGAAGCGACGGAGGCAGGAGGAGAGGGAGGACAGGGACATCATGAAGTCTCTCGCCAGCCGCCTTCGGGAGCCCTCGAGAGGGAAGAGTGCTGGTAGGCATGAGAGCAAGCGTTCGGAGGACCTCGAAATCTTGTCGAGACTTCTTCGATCAAGGTCGAGCTGAAGGTGCGAGAAGAGTGAGTGCTGTATGTCTGAAATGTCTGTCTTGTTGTTGCAATGTATGTGCTCCTATCATCCCTGCCCCTCACGTCGCCCGCTTGCCCCCCCTCGCGGACTTGGACTTGCTTGCTGGGGCCTTTGCCGCTGAGGAGCCTCCTTTGGATTTCTTTCCTTTCTGCTGCGAGGCGGCAGTTGGAGCATCTGTGTCGGAATCGTTCTCCCCCTCTGCCTCGCTGCTCCAAGTGTGAGAAACGAGGAGCATGGGGGCCGGGAGGGACCAACCTCTCCTCTTTCTCGTCGTCCTCCTTCTCCATGTCCCCTGACCTGCCCAGCGTCTTGGGCTGAGACTTGACCTTGGAGGCGAGATCTGAGAGATGTGAGCGAGAGACGATGATGCAGCGCGCGTCCACCTTTCACTCCTGAGCTCTTCACAAAGGCGATCTTGTGTCCCTCCTGCTTGTACCTGCTCAGGGTCAGGGGGGCGACTTGTGTTCGGGGGTATCCTTACCCTCTTGTAAGCGAAGCTTTCACTTTGCTATCAACGGAGCCGTAGATGTCTGGCGCAACCTTGTCGTCTTGGATCCGAAGCTCACTGTGGGGCTGAGTGAGTTCCTCGCATGTGGGACCAGCGGCATCACCCGCAGATTGAGTCGAACTCCTCCTTGGTAAAGTAGTACTCGTCCAAGAGGTCGATCACATCTTGAATTCCGTTCTGGCCCTGCACGCGAGGAAAGCTCACAAGGAGACGGGAGAGCGCTGACCCCTGGTTACCTTGTCGAGAAGAGGTTTCACGAGTCGATTTCGCAGAACGCCCAAGTAACTGGAGACTCAAGACTCAGGATCGTGTGACGTGTTAGGGCAGGGAGGTATATACTCGCAAGCGATGTCAGTCTTGTTTGCAGATGACTTGAGCTTCATGCATCTGCCCCGATGGTTACTCGACTTGGGAGAGAAGGGACGGTTAACAACCTCTGAATGTCAGACAAGAGCCTGTTCTTCTTGTTGACAGTAGAAGTGTGTCCTAAAATCTGTCCAGCAACAAGTCAAACAATACTTCGTGGAGTTCGGGAACGCCTGACCTTGGTGAAAGATTGTTTCCTCCACAGCTCGTTGGAGTAGAACGCGGGCGGAATCCCTCTGATAGGGAACCCGGCCTTGACGGTGGCCAGCGTGCCTGAGGGACAGATGAGACGGGAGAGGAAGGAGAAGCAATGCTAACCGTAGCAAGGGAGTAAGCTCCAGTGTTGGTTTTTTCTGATGTCACTGTTGATGAGATCGGAATCACTGATGGATTCTGCTGCACGTGACATGCGCTCCATGAGGTGGAACTCCGGGTTCTTCTTGACTTCATCTGGCGGCAGAGAGGTTCTTGTCTTGAGATAATTTTCCTGCCAAGACAAGAATGAGCCTTGCCTTCGCTGCCATGCATCGCTGAACCTGAACCAGCAGAGGTATAAGATCGGCGTCAAAGAAAAACATGTCCAGCCGATCGCCGAGAGTTGCGTTGTTTCGTTTTTGACTGCTCTTTCGTTGCTTACAATTTTGATGACATTAGCAAACGAAGAATGGGCACCTGTCAAGGAACCATTCTGTCGATACATCGAAGATACTGGCTTGTACGACACTCTGTTCCTTCCCCCCCTTTTGCATCTCAGCAACCTTGACAAGAACGTCAGAGTTTGAATGAATCGATTTTGTCGGCTCATACATCGGCAAAGTTGAGCTCATTCGACCGCATCCTCCAAGTCTGCCATTGGCATTATGTCAGAGGTTTCACCCTCTGCATGTCGACTTCTACAGTCCACCTGTAGCGAGTTGATGACATGCCGAATATCTCCATTGGCTCCCTCAACCAGTTTCTCTAATGCCTTGATATGCAAGGTGAGAAACCCCAGTTTGAATTTCGTCCTTGTCAACTCACGTTTTGAAAGACGTTTCTGTCTTTGATCTGAAACCCCTCTTCTCGAGCAATCTGTTCTAGACGCTTGACGACAAGGTTCTTGCCAGGTTTCTGAAATCGGAGATCCAAACACCAGTTTTTCAAACTTGAAATTTTCCTGGGAGGAATTTAGCATAAGAATGCAATTCCCAACCGATCTGATACTTGTCATAGTAATCGTTGGCGATACAAACAATTGGAACTCGAGTGTTCTTGATGAGGTTGATCAACTCCTGCACGCCTCCGCGGTCCCCCCCCGACATTCCATCAACTTCGTCCATGATTAAGCACGTCTGGAAACCCCGGTGAGAGAACGACAATGATTGAAGTCAAGTTACTCTTCGGTTGCCGATCTTCGATTGCTCTGATTTCGAGAAGTAGCCAGACAAGGAGTGATTGGAAGTCAACGACGAGACCTGCCTAGCCGTCATAAGGCACCCAATCTCATCTCATCTTCACCTTCTCATCGATGCCAGCCTTGTTCCTCACGTCACTTGGAGACATGACGTCAGAGATCGACAGCGGAGGGTCAGAGAAGGAACCTTGCGTTCATCTCGACGACGTCATACTTGAGAGAAGTGATCACCAGACGCGCAGTGGAAGTCTTGCCGATTCCCGGAGGGCCTGTGATGAGCACTGCCCTCTTATTCATGTCAGCATCTTCTTTCTTGGCTCTTCCTTGCCCTGAAGACATCAGCTCTCACTCCTTACACTGGCAATCATCTTTATCCACCTGATACTGCTTCTGACTTTCCCCAGTTTTGCAGCCATCGGCGCAAAGTTTCTCGCTTGTCACCATTTCCCACAAGGTCTTCGCATTTGGCCGGGCTGTGTTTGTCGACCCACAACGAGGTTCCTCCTTCACCTGAAACGTCTGTTTTTGTCGATTTCGTGGAGGAGGACTTGATGTCAACAGATGAGTCTGTTTCTTTCTTTACAGCGGTATCTTTCTTCGCGGTGAAAGCACTCTTCTTTGGAGATGCTTTGGTCACCTAAAGAGGGAAAGGTCGGTCATGGTAGTCATGGAATTTCTGATTGTGCACTCTGCCGAGGGACCGAAAGACCGAGCTGACGCATTCACAACAACACAAACATCGTATTCAGCATCCAAAAACAAGCTAGGGAGACATCAATGTAAACGAAAACTTCACCGGTACCTTGGCTTCTGGACTCTTTGCTGCCTCATTCGTCGGAGCTGAACGGGGTAGGCGTCACTTGTATCAGAGCAAACGATCACTTCACCTGATGTCGCTGTTGACTTGATCAGTTGAAAGAGGCCTGCTTCGTCAATCTTGGGCACTTTCAGCTCTTCTGCCTTCTTCACCTGAGCGTTGTCAGCAATGTTTGCATCAAAATATGGGCTCAAACCTTGCTGTCCCCTGGTTCTTCTCCACACAACAAGAAATCTGTCTTCTTGCTAACAGATCCCGTCACTCGACCTCCATATCCTTTGATGAGATCCGACGCTTCGTCTCTCTCGAGACAGTCCAGCACTCCCGTAATTACGAATGTTTTCCCACTCAAACAATTTGGTGCCCCTCTGTTCTCGTCGATCCTCTCTTCCTTTAGGTGCTTGTTGGGCACATCTTGCTTCTGTTGATTCCAATTCCACTTGCGCTTTGGAGGATCAGCTTGAGTCTCACTGGCAGGCTTCGACGCCTTGCTGTTGACCTCCTCCGTAGATTTCACATGACCTCCCTGGCCGGAGTGAGATTTGTCTTCAGTCTTGGCCTTCACTGGGCTGTTTTTGGGCTCTTCTTTCTGGGTCACGACCGGGGCCTTTGAAACCTCTTCTTTCTTAGCTTTGGCTGTGCTCTTCGATGACTCTTCCTCTTTCTTAGCTTTGCTTGTGCTCTTCGATGACTCTTCCTCTTTCTTAGCTTTGCTTGTGCTCTTCGATGACTCTTCCTCTTTCTTAGCTTTGCTTGTGCTCTTCGATGACTCTTCCTCTTTCTTAGCTTTGCTTGTGCTCTTCGATGACTCTTCCTCTTCCTTGGCTTTGCTTGTGCTCTTCGATGACTCTTCCTCTTTCTTGGCTTTGACTGGACTCTTCGCAACCTCCTCTTTCTTTGCCTTAGTAGGACTCTTTGAAGCAACCCTTGCTGGCTCCTCGCTGGCTACAGGGTGCTCCTTCTTAGAAGCTTTCTTCCCCTTTTCAGGCTCAGAGTCTTCGATAATGGTGACATCCTCGAACGCTCCTTTTGTCTTTCGTTTGTTCCCAACCTTGTCAGACTCCTGGCTAAAGTACTTGGACGTCACAACCCCATCGTCCTTGGGTTCCTTCCCACTCTGCCGCTTCCTCTTCTGAGGGGAGGCCTGATCCTCCTCCGACGCCCGCTTCGCCTGAGGCTTCACAGGAGACGAGTCCTTGTTTTCTTGCTTCTCGTTCGAACCTTCGGCCGCATTGTCCGAGGGTGCATTGGAACTACAACACTCGTCAGGTCATTTGGTGCAGGCGGCAAGCAAGGCAGGCGACCTCTTGTTCTTCACAAAGAAGCTTCTGATGTCTTGCGGCATGTCCCGTCAGACTGTCAGCATAAAAGAACCTCTCCGCGGCTGTAGCGAAACTGCCAAGCGAGGCTCAATCAGAGTTGAACAGAGGTGATCGAGTTCAACACACAGTCAGTGTGATATCCTTTGTGGACGATGTGCTGTTCTGCATTATGAAGCAACCAGTGCAAGACACCTCATGTCCCCACTTGCTGTACTTCCCTTCCTTTCAGGATACTCCAACCCCTGTGCTTCTACTGGGCAGTCACATTACCGCTTGCTATGCTTCCTCTGCCCCGCTATAGGCTCATCCGCTACTTCATTCAGTCTCGTCAACCTTTCTCGCACTACCGCAACTCTCTTCCTCTTCCCTTTCGCATTCGGCGTTGATTTGGCGGGAAATTTCAAACTAGCATGGTCGTCCAGGAGTTGCTTGCTGCGGCCGCAGTGGGCCGGCTCACGGTGAGCCGGGCCCCGACTTGGGCGTCGGCTGGCACATTCAAGTTACCGTACGGTACGTCCGACAGCGTGACGCCCGGTGACCGTGCTCGAGCCTCAGCCGCCGGCTCGCGCCGGCAGCGGCGAATGCGGCAGGCTCTCTGGCAGACTCTCACTGAGGGGCCGCCGGGCCGCGAGTCGGAGCCGCCCCGACAGTCGGAGACTCAGACTGAATCGACATCACAAGTGACAGAGTCACAGAGCCTCGAGTCAAGTGATGCTCACAGGCTGAGGCTCACTGAAAGTCCGGTGACACGTGAGTCAGCCGGCCCAGCGGCCGCTGCCCTCAGGCTGGCACTGTGGCCGTGACTGCGTGCTGCGGCGGCCCGGCCGCGTGATGCGGCCTGCCATGATGGGAGTAGCGTACGGCATGACTCTCAGCTTGATACATGAATGCCATACTGTGAGCCGCTGAGCATAGGCTGAGTCGCCGCTCGCCACGGACCGAACCGTTCCCGAAAATTGCCTTACCACTCAGTCGAAGCCTTGAATGATTCTGACTACTGAGCCTAGCACACAGACCATACCGTACGGAAAGCTTGAAGAGGAAAGACGGAGAGCTCTAACTCTCAGCAACTTTTCACTGCAGTGCTGCACTGTCTGTCTGAGTTTGTGTGATTCCATCATCAGAGACTTGGAGGGCCCTGGCGTAGCAGCACACAGCTGCCAGGCTTCTGAGTCCCTCAGACATGACTCTCACACACAGCTGCCAGGCTTCTTAGTCCCTCAGACATGACTCTCACTTCAGCTTTCCCGTCGCGACCCGATACACTGGGCTTGCCTGTAGCTTGTTGAGGCATCGAGTTGTGAGGCATTTTGCCCGCGAGGATGGCGAAGCAAAACCAGACAAATGAGAGCAGCTTCCTTGACGCGGGCAGGACACCCGAGACTGTTTCGCATGCTGTGGCTCTGGGCGCGTTACGTGAGGCTCGGAGAATCGGAGAAGAGATAAAGCATCAACAAGCTATAGAAGAGAAGGAGCTTTTAATCAATATCTACACATATGCATCAATCTGTCTAGTTTACATTCAGTTGTCTGAGAAAACAACAACAATCTAGTGACTCTAGCATGGCCTCTTGGTTTCAGGCCTTCGTTTCGTCTTCATCTACACTTTGCATCCTCCCAGTATCAGCAGACACTCTTAGCTGGACCAGCTCCCCCGTCGCACCCACCACCACCTCACCCGCAAGGATGAGGCGGATAGACGCCTGCAGGCAAGCGAGCTGCTTGGCGCGGGAGGGGCCTTGCAATTGGATCGACTCGGAATGGGAGGGGCGGGGGGAAGCAGGCGAAGAGGAGCAGCAGACTGCAGCATGGCAAGGCATCGGAACTAGTGCGATTGAGGAGGAGAGAGTTGGTGTGCTTGAGAGGAGGGAGGAGCTTATATGGGGGTTAGAGGGGAGCATGACTGCTGACAGAGGTTCCGTGATATGACGATCCGTGATCCACTTGTCGACATGTGATGACTGCGAAAAGGAGAGATTTCGCAGGTTTTGACCTCCTCGACCGGTCCGCGCATCCGAAGCAGGCTGTCACGGGTCTTGTCTTCAGAGTCCTGGGGTAAACCCTCGACCTCCGAACAGTTTCCTTTTCACAATGACCCTCCGATCTGACATGTCGTCCTGCTGCCCTCCCAAGTCTCCCCAACTTCGGCTCGGACTTCCCCCACTTCCCCTAGTCACGGGCTTGAGACTTTTTGATCCCCAGGTCCTGACACCATGACTGGCGATGATCATCACTGTCCTCGTACTGATCTTTGACTTAACTTTGAGTAAAACGGCTGATAACTTCTGGTGCGACAGTCACCAGTCACTTAACGGTTTGGGGGACAGCAGTCGGCAGGATTGGGTTTGGTTCTCGCTGTCTTTTCCGAAGTTCTCTTCTCGCCGTTTGGCCTGTGCGACCGTCGGACAGTGTCAGGGTCAAGCCTCCTCGACTCTCTGAGTCTCCCTCAGTGATTGTCCTCGTACTGATTTTTAACTTAACTTTGAGTAAAGAGCGCTGGCATCATAGTCACTGTCAGGCTCCGCTCCCCTTTACTCAAAGTTAAGTTAAAGATCAGTACGAGGACGATGAGGAGAGTCGAGCAGGCTTGACCCACCACTCAGTAATAAGTGCCACCGGATCGGACTGGTTCCGCCGCGTTCCGATTGCCGGCCCGGCAGGCCGGGCCCGGGCCCGCCGGGCGGCGAGGCATCACTGATTGGACGCCAGGCGGTGGCGATGGCTGGAAAGAGATTGAAAGCGGGAGGGTTCAATGCGTGGGAGCTGAGAGAGGAGGGGCAGGAAGCAATGGAGGACGAGGAGAGGATGGGCTCCGACGTCTGGTACAACATGCACAGGGAGATCGTTGAGAGACAGATCATGCAAGAGATGTCGCGATACGGCAAGGTGAGACTTTTTGCTTGTAAGCCATTTGTGGAGTCATGGTTTGTGGGCAAGCTACGGCCACGCTCCGTTATCCCTAAGAACTTTCCTGAAGCGTCATTGCAGATTGTCGGGGTTGAGCTAGTCTGTGAGCCGCAGACGATCATATCGAGACTCAAGCTCTGCCTTGCTGATCAGTGGAACGTAGAGGCATGGAAAGAGGTCTTTCTGCTGGGGGATAAGGATAACAGCGGAGGCCTTGACCGGGAGGAGCTGCGGAGAATTCTCCAACATTTCGACGTCTCCGTCACGACGGAGGAGCTTAAGGAGCTGTGGAACTTCATTGACATCTCCGCCGATGCCGGGGGGAGGATAGAGTTCTGGGAGCTTGTGGAGGCCTTCCGCTTCGACGACTGGGAGGAGGAGCTGGAGACGATGATGACGACGAAGAAGAGTGTCGGTGTTCGCAGCAGGAAAAGCAGCAAGATGCAGTTCAAGTATCCCTGCCATGCTATCATCTCATGCGCCGACGAGGAGACTGCCAACCGCATCCTCGTGGAGCTTGACGGGCATTCCGTTCGGTTCCATGACGAAGAAGGGAGAGATTTGAGCCCCAAGGAGCTGGTGACGAGGGGGATGCTCCCGATGAACCGAGCTCCGATCGTCAAGGAGGAGAAGGAAAAGATCGCAGGGGACGGAATGGAGAAGAAACCAGTGCACAAATCGCTTCGTCTTGCACTACAGGGGAATGCGGAGAAGGAGAGGAGGGCGAAGTCGTGGAAGCCGGAGCTCTTTTGGAGCATCTCAAACATATCAGGTGCAGAGGATGAAGATTATGCTCTCCGTGTGCCCTGAGATCATGGAAGGTGAGGTTCGTGCGGGGACGGGGGGGGTCCCAGGGGAGCGGGTAATCACTGACTACGAGAAGTTCCTAGTGGCACAAAGGGGATGGAGCAGGTGACGTCAGCTGCACGTGCGGACGAGAGGCCTGATGGCGATGGCAGGGAGGTGATGAACTACCATCGAAGACTGCGGGAAGTTGAGAAAGGTAACAGGAGGAGCAGTACAGCTGGTGTTTGCAAGGGCAGCCCCACAGCCTCCTCCTGCTCCTCCTCCTTCTCGCGCGCATCCTGGCGCTTTCCTTCTCCCCTTCCTCATCTGTCTCCTCCTCTTCTTCTCCCTTCGTCTCCTTCTTCCCGATCATCATCACCTCCACCACCACCACCACCTCCTCCTCCTCCTCCTCCTCCTCCTCCTCCTCATGCTCCTTCTAGCATCTAAGTGATGATTACCATCAACGACCTGCTGCGGCTTCGGTTGACAGGGTCTCACTGTTGGCCCGCAGGAGACTGGAGGGCTGCTGAGAGGATCTTTGAGGAGATGGTGAGGGAGAAGATATCTCCGAGCGAGCTTGTGGTCGAGAGGGTCCTGCAGTCGTACTGCGACTCCCAAGTCCCCCAACCCCGACGTGCAGAGGAGATGATAGCAAGGATGGCGAAGATGAATCTGAAGCCAACCACTAGGACGGTAAACCTCGTCCTCGTCCTCGTCCTCCTTTCCTGGTCCTTCTTCCCTCCCCCTCGTCCCTTTTTCTTCTATCACTCTGTTGATCACAAGAAACGGCAGTACAACAGGCTGATGGAATGTTGGTGCAACGCTGGAAATATTCGGTGACTCCATGACCATCCCGAACAGTTCCTCCTAGCCTCGACTCTCCTCTTCTCTCCTCTCCTCTCCACTTCCCTCCATGACTTTGGTTGATCTCTTTGCAGCCGCGCAGAAGAGATTGTTCTCATGATGGAGGCGGAGGGCCCGATGCCCAACGAGTTCACCTACCAGGTGAGGCGGCGACGAGACGCGGGGAGGTTGAGGAAGAGCTGCAGGTGCTTGTGAGGGGATGGGAGAAGAACTTTCAGGCCACTGCGAGTCGAGAGCTGGTTGAGAGGAGCAGGGCGATAGCCTTCAGCAAGCTTGTGCGAGCTCTCCGCCCTTCCTCACCTCCCCTCCTTCCTTCTCGAGATCATTTCCATTGCTCCACCTTGCCGTCGCTTCCGAGCTCCCGCTTGCTCCCAACTCTTCTCCTCCTCCACCTCCACCACCACCACCACCATGCCCCCCCCCCCCCCCCCCCCTCCTACTTCGTCATCCTTTGTTGAGTTTGACCTCTGAGTCTGCAGGGGACGAAGCGATACTCGAGCTTGCTAGCGGAGCTGCAGGACAAGATAGGAGAGGTTCACACAGACACAAGTAGGATGGAGAGAATCTTCAAGGGCATCGCAGGCGAGATGGGAGTGATAGACAGGTTCCTTTGCTTCCTCCTCCTCCGCCTCTGACGCGATACAGGGATGGTGTTGTGGATGCGATTAAGGTATGGAACGAGAGGGGATGGTGAAGGAGAAAGTTTGAGCAGGGAGCATAAGGAGGTGGGAGGAAGGGCAGGGAAGAAGGAGGAGGAGATGAGCTACCAAAAGTTCCCCTGAGTTTCCTGCAGCTGTTGGGAGTCTCGGACACTTCGCTTGTGTCCAGGTCTGTAAGGGAAGAGGACGAAGGAAAGGAGTTGATGTCGGTGCAGCTTCATCGACGATGAAGATCAGAATGGAGACGGTTTCGTGAGTCTTCATATCAGCTCTCCTTTTCCTCCATTTGATCGCCTTTTCCCTCCTCCTCCTCCTCCTCCACCTCCTCCTCCTCCTCCTCTTCCTCCTCCTCCTTCTTCCCTTTCCTCCTCCTCCTCCTCCTCCTCCTCCTCCTCCCTTCTTCCCCTTTTCCTCCACCTCCTGCTCCTCCTCCTCCTCCTCCCTTCTTCCCCTTTTCCTCCACCTCCTCCTGCTCCTTCAACTCCCCTCGTTCTCTCTTCTTCTTCCTTCAGATTGACTACGGAGAATTCATCTTCATTCTCAAAAGTCTCCTGCACAACGTGGAGCACAAGCTGCATCAAGTCTCCTCGAGCTCAGTGGCCAGCGACCAGTCGCCAGATGTTTCAACGAAGAAGATGGTCAAAATCCTCCTTGCTCCTTGCTCCTTGCTCCTTGCTCCGCCTCCTCCTGCCCCTGCCCCTGCCCCTGCCCCTGCCCCTGCCCCTCCTTTACATCCTCTCCTTACCTGCGCAACTTCCACCAGTCTTGACACTTCTCTGGTTGTTCTGAATGTTGCTCAGGCCGTGACGTCGCAGTTTGCGGTGAAGCGAAGTGGATGGGTTCCTTCCTTCTTCTGGAGGAGCGACACTGCACGGAAGCGTTGAAGTCGACATGACAGTTGAGATGCGTCGTGAATGATGGAGAAATACATGTAGACGGAAAAGGAGGAGGGAGAATAGAGGAGGAAGAAGAGGCATATGTCGAAAGGAAGAAGATAAAGAGCAGCGGAGAGGAGGATGTAGAGGAGGAGAGAGGGTGCGGAATGTCTATGTAGGGTCTGAGGCGAGTCAAGATGTCAACCTAATGTATCATAAGAAACCTTCACACCAGCGACACGCGCGCAAGTCGCTGGAGTTTCTGCATCTCCTTCCTCTTCATCTCCTCCAGCATCATCTGCTTCTTCTGGAACTGCACGCTCTTCATGCTTGGCTCAGTCAGCTCGTCCACCATCGATGGGTTCACGATCCCGTACATAGCAGCTGCGTTCTTTGCCCCCTCGTTCACCCAGCCATCAGCGTCCTTGTTCTTCCCTGGAGTCTCGATCACGTTGGCGAATTTCTTCTCCAGCTCCTCCTTTGACAGCATCTTGTCTTCCTCTGAAGGGTTCACGATCCCGTAGATGGCTGCCGCATTCTTGGCTTCCTCGCTGATCCAGCCGTCTTCCCTGCTGCCATGAAGAGCCTCGGGACTGGCCAACGCGGGAGCAGCAGCTGGCCTCTCCTTCCCCACCTTTGATGCTTCCGACACAGACGGTCCACTCGCGGTCGCTTTCGCCGCCAGGATCGATCCTCCCGCAATTCTCCTCAGCCCCCTCGTCGGTTTGCGCGCACCGAAGATTCCAGCTTGTCCATAGCTGAACATGTCGTGTACGTACGGTCTGAGCAAGCAGACGGTCAGTTAACCTCGTCAACCTCGTCTCAACATCCTCACTCGCTGCGCCGTCCCGCTTGCACATGCTCACGGATCTTGATCCCTGGAGGAGGAGGAGGAGCCTCTGACCAGATTCCAGTGTCCTGCAAGCTTGTTACTAAACCGGTTGATGGAGGGCTGGAAGGGGAGGAGAGGAGAGGAGAGGAGAGGAGAGGAGAGGAGAGGAGAGGAGAGGAGAGGAGAAGAAAAGCTCAAAGGACGAGGCTCACGGTTGGATGATGCTCCGTCCAAGCTCCTCCATAACCGGGAGAGCAGGGCACGAGCTGGGTTCCCCACTGGCACCACTGAACCTTGGGTCCTTCCTCTGTTGGAATCGACGTAGCAAGTGTGTTCACCTGCCGGTCAAGGTCAAAGTCTCCCCGACACACTCCAGTTTTCAACCTTGTCTGGCGTCGTTACGACATGGGCGCCGTTGACAGGGTCGACGGTGGTGAGGTAGGCAGGAGGCGCGTCCGTGGAGTTGGAGAGCAGGTTGGCAGAGTCCTGGATGGAGCCAACGAGCGAGTGGCGGAGAGCATTGCCGTCGTACTCGACGGGGTTGAGGTTTAGACTTGCCGAGGTATCCGCCAGCATGGTCTCGCGTCGGGGGTGTAACGGTGAGAGGGCATGAGTCTCACGTCTGCCTTGGCGGAAGTCGCGCAGCTGCTTCACGATCTTGCTCTTCTCCTCCTTCTCCTTCTGCAGCAACGAAGTTTGCTCCTTGATCTTGTCTTCAATGTTTGCGACCTTCGACTGCAAATGCAAAATCTCCTTCGCAGTGTTCTTCCTGAAGGGAGAGCATGGTTACAAGACGACTAGCCTTGTCAGCACAGTAGTACCTGATCTGCGTGTGGAGCTTCTGAACCTGAGGTGCATCATGTCCCAAGACGTCAGCAAGGGAGTCGGCAACAGCTTTCTGCAGCTCGATCTTCTCCTCCTTAGCTTCCTCGTTCTTGTCCTGACTCCAGGCCTCGGCCTTCTTCTTCTTGGCGGCATCAAGGAGGTTCTTCTCCTGCTGAAGTGAGTGTTGGAGACTTTTGATTGTCTTTTCGCGCTTGTCCATCTTGATCTCAATGTCGTCCAGCTTGTGGTTCATGATCGTGGGATAGTTCTGAAGCGTGTTCTTGACCATGTCGTACTCTCTCTTCAACGTCCGAGCTCTCTCGACACCGCGCATGGTCTCTGCAGAGTCACGCGCGTCTCTCTCGGCAGCCTTCAGCCCGACCTTGAGGGAGGACAGCTGCTTCGCGTCCATCTTCTCGACCTGGTCCTTGCTCAGTATCTGCGGTCTCCCAAGGCTGAAAGGAGAAACTTGCGCGAGATCTTGGGTGCGAGCTGGCACCATGTTCTCCTTGAGAGCTTGGTGAATGTTATGCTTCAGCTGCTGCTGGTGATATGCCTTGCACATGATATCGTCACCCGCCGCACACCCCTCCATGGCAGGATCTCGGCTTGCACTGACTGTTCGAGCGGTCTGGCGCGCATGGCGAGAGGGTGGGAGCTCGATGTTGATATTCACTGGTGCAAAGTGCGCACCCTGGTCATGATCCTGGTGGATATCGAGCGACAACTCCATGCCGTGCTCTTTGAACTTCTGCTTCGATCCATGGGCGACGTGTGCTGGTGTTTTCTCAGTGGGACGGATAGAAGGAGGACCCCAGGCAGAGGATTCAGAGAGGACCGCAGCTGAGGGAGGGGAAGAAGTGAAGGAGAAGGAGGAGGAGATCAGGAAGAGGAGGAGGGAGATGGGGAGGAGGAGGAGGAGTGCCGCGTAGTTTCCCCCTCTAGCCCGCATGTCTCTTCGCTTCTTCGCTTTTCTGAACCACCTATCACCCCATCTATTACCGACTGACAGAGGGGTACTTCAAGTACCCCTCTTATTACCCACACAATCGAGGGTCATCAAAGTTTCAGTGAGTTGGGGTGGTGTTCAACTCTTGAAAAATGAGGGTACTACTCACCACCGGTACAATTTTCTATTGAGTAGGGGGGGTGATATAAGGAATTTGTGGGGTGGAATTGATATCATGTCAAAGAAATAGAAGGGGTAGGGTACCCAGGATAGGGTAGTGATATGATGTTTAGAAAGGGAGGGTAAACTGAAGGGAGAAGAGGGGTAGGGGTGTAAGAGTTGAGTAAACGTCTGAGCGACTCTTCGACAATGGCCAAGTACGGGGCAGTGGGCGAGGCGACCATGCAGGTGAGAGGGAGAGGAGGAGGAAGAGGAAGAGCATGAAGTAGGAGGAGGATGAAGAGAATGATCGTAGCATCTTTGCTTCGTTGATTCGTTCATGAGCCGCTACAGCAGCAGGGCAAGAGGGAGAAAGGGAGATGAGTGGGAAAGAAATGGAGGAGACCAGGAGAATCGGTGAAAGGGCATGGGAAGGAGATGGAAGTCTACGCAGAAGGTGCCCTTGAAGGTCCTGAGAGCAGGGTGTATGGTGATGGAGGAGTGAAAGGATCGCGATGATTGCTAAGAAAAGGAGCAGGGGGAGGCAAAGTGGGGGAAAACAGTTTCGTAGGGAGATGATGTCTTTTAGACAGAAGACTGAAAAAAAGTAGAGAAATTGTTCATGATAGAAGTTAGCAGAGAAATCTGGAAGTTGCAACCGAAGGCGTTGCGCATGCCCGTCATTTACGGGCTGCTGACTGTCTTTGTAGATCGCAGGGTCTCCAGCTCCTCGCCGTGTCGTGCTGGCAGCAGTTGGACTGATCTGCTTTGCGGCCATGCTGGCGTTGATCTCCTTCTCTTCCTCCTCCTCTCAGGTGACAAGCTCTGCTCCCTCCTCTCTCGCTTCTTCCCGTCTGTTGTGACTCGAAGCGAGCAGACGAGCATGCTGTCAAGGGCCTCGGTTGGCTCGCGCTACCAGAGCGTGGAGACTCAAGCTCTTGCGGTGGGTCCATGCGAAGTTGCAGACAAGTTCCTCACTTGCTGGCAGCAAATCTCTGAGAGCGACGACCTGCTCTCAGCTGCCGAGTCTCAGGACTCGGAGGATCCTATCGAAGCTCTAGAGCGAGCTGCCAAGGTCCTCGAGGAGAAGCAGGACGTGAAGATCCGCAAGGCTGCAGCTAAGGTGCTTGCGCTCATGATACCTCAAGATTTTCGATCTCAAGGTGTTGCTGCAGCTTTCACGCCTCGAACAAGAGAGGAAGATGGTGAAGAAGGCCGCGAGCAAGTTGTTGAGTGAGGCCCAGTCGAAGGTGAGGGACGAGTGATGGCAATGAAGGACATGATCATGGCCGGGCACACAGATGGACGGTGCTCAGCAGAAGTCCCTGAAGCAAGAGGAGCAACAGGCTGAGAAGAACTTTGAAAGGGAAGAGCAGAAGGCTCTCAAGGAAGCAGCGAGGAAGATCCAGAAGGTGAGTTCGACCCCCCGGCCGCATGGAGCTGACCCTCATTCACAGGCTGCCTTGGCAAAGGAGCAAGTCGAAAAGAGCATCAAGCAGCAGGTAGCTCCGCTCCCCTCTAGCGCTTCCCGGCCGTTGATCCTTGTTGCAAGCTCGGAGCAAACAACGACAAGTTCCTTGACATGAACCCTCCTACCATCCCTCCTCCCCAGGTCTGACCACTTCCGTCATGACCAACTGTGTTGATGTGAGCTACACTCAGGTGGATCCGTTCTCCAACTTGGATCCACCCGTGTACAAGAAAGCGCAGAAATCTACTCTCAAGGTCTGAACCCTGCAATGCTGATGTGCAAACTTCCGTCTGATTCATGCATTTTTGCAAATCTATTCTGCACCTTCTATTGTCAAGCAGATTGTCCAGCAGCATGTATTCCTGTCCTTCCTGGTGTTATCAACTTGGTGACACTTTCCTCTTCCGCAGGGTGCCAACAACGACAAGTTCCTTGACATGAACCCTCCCACCGTCCCCCAGGTCTGACCACTTCCGTCATGGCCAACTGTGTTGATGTGAGCTACACTCAGGTGGATCCGTTCTCCAACTTGGATCCACCCGTGTACAAGAAAGCGCAGAAATCTACTCTCAGGGTCAGGATGCTTTGCTGTCACGGCCCTGCCCTGAACTGCTGTCAGGCCTCTTCGACCAGCCTGAGTGGCTCCGCGTCTTCAGCGGCCAAGGCTGATTCCGAGGTCCGACCTCCCCACGAGCTTGCCTCGGGATCGTTTTCACTGTTCCCTTAGGTGGAGAAGCTTGAGGCTGAGCTGAAGGTGGCGAAGCAGAAGGCAGCGCGTGCTGAGAAGAATATGATCCAGGTAGAGCCTCTCCCTTCCTCCTGCCTGCGTTGAAGCTTCTTCAGCATCTCTCCCAGACCGGCTCGTCTCAGGAGGCTGGGTACCAAGTAGGCAAGGAGGGCAAGGACTGGAAGCCGACCTTCTACGAGGACTACCAAGCTGGCAAGCTGGGCCCTATGGCTGAGTCGAAGAGGGTGCCGGAGGATCATCCCGCGGGCCACAAGAAGTGTAGGTTCCACGACATCGATTGTGACGAGCTCTTCCCTTACGGCAAAGCCTCCAACTTGGCCTCGCAGCCGGATGAGCGAAACAGCAAGCTCGGCGACAACATGGTGGGAGTGTTCGGTCAGGATGATGTGGTGGTGCCCACGGGCAACAGCGGCCTGATCTCTCACGCCTCTCCCTATGTCGATCGCTTCCAGAAGTGGCCGGAGGACTCCAAGAAGAACAAGGACCTACTCTACGGCTCAGCCAGAAAGATCATCTCCCAGAAGTACACTGGCGTCGGTGATGTCTACGTTCCTCTCGGCAAGGTGGAGAAGCTAGCTTCGGAGAAGAAGGCAACGGGGCAGCCTCTTGCAGACTTCTTCTTCGGCTCATGGCAGCAGGGCTTCATCAAGCCGCACGACAAGCAGATCCGTAGCCACGTGAACATGTTCGACCAGCCCTACAGGCAGCACTGGTCGGTCGCTACCGGCAAAGGGCACCAGGTCTTCAAGAGCCAGCAGCCCAACGAGTACGGGGGCCCCGTCTCACTGGGCCCGACCAAGGGCGACTAATGCGATTGTAGCATATCAATGAAAGTTGAGGGGAAGGATGCAGCAGCGAGGGCCTCTTTGTCTGTGCTTCAACCATCGCCCTTGGGACTATAGCACTGCTGTAGTCTCGTCGATCTTCATCAGGCTGTTCCCTCGCTTCTCAGGCCAGTCCACGTCGAGGCTGTATGGCAGCTTGTAGCTGACAACATACTCCGGGTACGCCATGTTGTTCCAGTAAACCCCCAGCTCGCATCGTTGCATGGAGGTCGCTGCGTGTAGTCAGCGTCGTGTGACGAGAGCATACACCAGGGCAGGTCACCAGTGTGGAAGCCAGCGGGAGGAACTCTGTTTTCCGCTTTCTGAGACGAGCAGAGTGAGAGGAAGGGGAGGAGGAGGGAGAAGTCACCTTGATCTCAGTCTCCACGTTGGCCAGGATCGGCTCCCTTGTTGCGATCGTCCCGCACGTCACCTTTCACAGCTCGTCAGCCCCAGCACGGCTCTGCCTGCCCTCCATCACTCTGGCCAGGACGAGCTTCCTCTCTGTGCCTGAGACCTGCACCAGACATCATCCACCTCGCCTACCCCAGCTAGACTTCACCTGGGACGAGTACTGCAGCTGATGAGCTACCTTGGGGTCGGACACGAACAGAAACCTGCAAAGGCGTCAGCAGCTGGGAGAGGAGCTGGGAGAGGAGCTTGAAAGCATTACCCGTAGCCCATCATGAAGTACTCCGAGGAGGAGACCCCCTCCAGGAGGTCAGTCTTGAACCCCTCCTGCAGGACCCTCTCGTGCTCCAGCCCCTCACACCCGCAGAACCAGAGGTAGTGCTCGTTGGGATCCCCGCCTGTCGCTCCTTCAGACCCTTCAAATCTCACACGCGCAGACCTCTAGAGTGCGCCATGTCGTTGCGAACTTGAAAGTACTTGGCGTACTTGTCCACGTTCTCTACCCTCTGGATGGAGAGGATGTTGGCGTTGGGCTGGAGGAGGAGCTCACTTGGAGGCGAGTAGAGGAGGAGAGGAGGTACCATGGACTCCGTCAGCCGCTGTGCGATGTTGTTGAAGGCTTCATCCCTGCGCTCTAGTCAAGAGCTCTCGGCAAGTGCGAGCACACGCACCCTGCTGGCACCGGGACGACCCGGAGCGCCGAGTCCGAGGAGGACCAGTCCCACGGTAAGTAATACCTGGGGGCCTCAGATCCCTGAGCATGAGAGAGGTCAGGAGGAGGCGGCAGGGGAGGGAGCGAACCTTGTTGAGGTCGTTGATGACTTGCGAGAAGAACTCAGCGACGTGCATGTCTTCGATCCCAAACTGCACGAGGGTGAGACTAGCTCGAGAGCCGCAGGAGCGTCAAGAACCGCAAAGTGAAGCGCTCCCCTGTCGAGAAGCCCCCCGGCAATCTTGGCTCCGGTTGCATTTTGACTGCAGGTCATCCATCAGTGGGTGCGACTGACCGTTGCTGCAATGTCTCACTTCACAAACTCTTTGGACAGCTTCTCGGCAACAGGCTTGATCTTTGCTTCTATCAGCCCCATCAGTTGGATCCACTCGGCTGCGTCCTGGAAGGAGCGAGGGATCAGGCGACAAGAGTTTGAGGGTTGGTCTACCTCCTTGGTCCACGACGCCAGACTCCGGACCTTGACGGTTCTCTCCGCTAGCACTTCATCGTTGACGAAGGCCTGGAGGAGATCGACTTCAACTACTCCTCCTCCTCCTCCTCCTCCTCCTCCTCCTCCTCCTCCTCCTCCTCCTCCTGCTTCTCCTCCTCCTCCTCCTCATCATCATCATCATCATCATCATCATCATCATCATCATCCTCATCCTCCTCATCATCATCATCCTCCTCCTCCTCCTCCTCCTCCTCCTCCTCCTCCTCCTCACCTTGAGTCGCACGTCGCCATGGCGGCGGGGGGTGAAGGAGATCCGGAAGGCCCCGCCCTTCTCCATGTACACCTTGGCATCGCTGCTCTTCAGAGCGCAGCCGTCGAGCTTCACCACGGGGGGCTTGTCGCAGGTGATGGCGATGTTGCCGTACTCGTCCATGAGCAGCCCTCGGAAGGTGATAGGGAAGTGAACTCTGCACTCCTCGTGGTGCTCCAGCTCTGACAGCTTCGCTTTGGCAACAGCTGGCAGCACCTCCACCGCAGCTGCATGGATGGTGAACTCGTTCACTCTGATGCGGAACTGCATCGAAGGGTTCGCCGTCTGGATCCTGAAAGTGACGGTGTAGTTGCCCTTCCCGACCTCCGTCGCCTGCACTTTCTGCACGTTTGCGATGGTTCCGAGCGGATCCTGAGCGATCAGAATGATGGCAGAGTCCATGCCGAGGAGACCATTCTTGAAGGAGTCTTGAAGCTTGATAGACAAGGTGAAGTTCTCTCCGCAGACGATGCAGTTTGGCAGCCCCTCGACCAGGCAAGAGTCCGGGTCGAGCTCGTTGGTCTCGAACTGGAGGGTCGTGCGATGGAGCAAATCATTCTTCAACATGAGGTTCAGCGAGACCTTGACTGCCTGCTCGGTGAAGAATACGATCTGATGGGTGTAGATGATGCCGGGATGGAAGTCTACTCGGCTCACCCGATGATTCAGCGCCAAATCCTTCTGTTCAATCTGACCGTTCAGGAGCTGCACGTCGCTCACAAGGATCTCGACATCTGCCATCTGCTGCGGGGAGCACACGTTCCCATACTTGTCGCGCAGAGCAATCAGGAGGGCAATGTACTGGCCAACAGTCGTCGTGATCTCCCCGGTGACCACACACTGGTCGATGCAGACGATGTTGGGGACGATGTTGAGCAAGTAGTTGTGCTGGGGCCCGAGAGCGACGGTTCCATTCACGGCAAAGGTGAAGCGAGTCTGACGAGCGATGGACTGGGTGGCCGTCACCTTGTACGACCCATGACCCGAGCTGGTCACCTCGTAGTTAGACCACTCCTCTCCTCGCTGTTTGGTGGTGGGAACCAATTCAAAGATCTCAATCTTGTCCTCTACGTGGTTCCTGAAGTTGTCCCATGTATCCTTGATGATCACCTCAAACTCGTACTTCTCGCCTGCTGCACTCACGATCCCCGACGTCGGCACGACCGCCATGCACTTGTCCAGCGCCACCTCGGCAGGGACGACATCGATGGACCATGCTCGCTCTGCCACGTCTTCCCCGTTCACCAGCACCTGAATTTTGGAGTACTCGTACTGGCCGTCAGCGTTCTTGGTGGTTCCGTGGGTGATAAGCCCTTGAAACTCGTAGATGCCGAGCCCGGAAGGCTCCAGGGGCAACTCAGCACGGATCATCTCCTTCCTGAAGCAGGGCCCGTGCTGGATCATTGTGACAACGTCTTTGGCCCTGGGCCGGGGGTTTCCGAAGCGATCAAAGAGTTTGACGGTCAGCGAGGAAGAAGTTCCTGCGATCACCGTCCAGTCCACGTTGCCGTTGGAGGCGACGTTGAAGCCGTGGATGCCCGTGACGAGGCTGACCTGGCAGTTGGGGGCGTAGACTTCAGCTGGGAGCACTTCCACCTGGGGGGTGCCTTGCATGGACTCGCCGTTGACCCGGATGTCAATGATGCGGCTCCCGACTTGAGTCTGCGTCCACGACACGTTGTAGCTGCCGTTCCCGAGGTCCTTCACGTCGGCGTCTTGTATCTGAATCCTGTCTCCTCCCTTGAACTTCTTGTTGCCAGCGCTATCGAAACAATCCAGCCGAAAGTCAACAGGAATGCCGGCCACTGCCTGCCATAGCCCATCTCGCACAACATCCGAGCGCTTAGCGTCTGCCGGCCCCTCCACGATCTCTAAGTTGAACTCCTCTCCAATCTGCAAGGACAGTCATCTTCCTGCTTCACGCAGACCTTTCCAAGTCACCTGATGCCGTCCCAGGTAGATCCCTACGATGTATGCTCCTGCAAACATGGCTGGCTCAAAGTTTGTGAGGATGATGTTGTACTTGGGGTCCATGGTGTTCATGCCCTTGGAGCTGCTCACTTCCACCTGCTACATCAGTCAACCCGCACGTCGTCTCCTGCCACCTTTGCACGTGCCTGAGTCGTGAAGGACATCAGCCCTTCCGCCTTAATCCTCTGAGCAAGCTGAGAGTCAGAAGGGAGGAGGCTAACTTTAGCGAAAGTCGTGTCAAGAGCCTTGCGGGTGTCAAGTCCGGAGACGGGGATGTCATTTATCCTCAGCACAAGGTCCCCCGCCTTGAGCGACCCTCGGATCGACGTCGCTGAGGGAACAGAAGTCACCTCCCAGTAGGGAGTCGTAGCGTCGTGAATGGTAAACAAGGGTGTGCCGGCATTCTCAATCACCAGGGTGATCTCCTGCCTGCCCTGCAAGTGAATCCGAAGGTCTTCAATGTTGGACACCGGGATCCCATCGACCTGAACGATCTTGTCTCCCTCCTGACAGTCCAAGTCGTCTCGCTGCACCTTGCTGATCGTCAGGTCGGGCAAGAGCTTCATGTTGAGACTCCCGTTGATGAGCGGAACTCCGACCTCGAACCTTGCCAGGTGTCTTTCAAGGATTGCTGTCTGCGTTGGAGTCTTCAGCTCTGCTTTGAGGAATTGCACTGGTGACGTCGTCACAAAATCATCCCACAAGGCAGGCTCGTCAAGCTCATTCCTCGCCTCCACGTAGGCGATCAGCGCTGATCCTGCTCGATTGGCGGGGATCTGGTTGGCCAGAGGGGTCACCTTGCTGAAGTGCGACATTGCTCGCAGCAGCCTGTCCTCCGCTGCATCGGCTCTCATCGTTTCGTGCATTGCTGGCTCCGAGTCGTGGACCGAACTTGCGACTGATACTGTGCCCAGCCCACTCATCTGCGTGTTGGAGAGTGTTGCCGGCTGAGACTGCATGGCAGAGGAGTTGTGGGGGTGTGCGACAGGCTTCACCAGCGGCTTTGTGGAAGGAGGCATCTGATGAGGCTGCCTACTGGTTGAGGTGCAAGTGTCACAAGGATGCAATGATGCTATCGCGTCACTTCTCAAGTTAAGATCCACCACGTTATCTAGCTTCAGCATGTCCACATCACATGCATCTGTGCACAGATCCAGGGAAGAAATATAAAACTGTGCATGGCGCAGCCATTCTATACATCCCAACAACAAAGCAAGAACCAACTAGCAATCATCCAACGATTTAAGAATGCAAGAAATGAGATGAACACAGAGGGCATCTCGGCAGAAAACGTGGCTAAGATAGTGGCGATCAACAGGAGGGGAGAAAGCATATGCGAGAGGAGTTTGCAACTAGACTGCGAAGATTGCAGCAAGCTTGAAAGATCATGGTAAAGCATGGCGATACTGCAAGACTCTTACCTCGGCATGTACCCGCCGCTGTTGCTCATCCTTCGACGCGACGGTGCCGATTCGACAATCGTAAGCTTTACCGGCAGCAACGGGAAATTGCTGTAGGAGCGGAGAAGTTATAGAAGCTCCCCCCTGTCTTGAATACTTGTTAAGTTTACTTAATACAAGTATTGTAGCAAAACAAACCCCCCACCGCAGTCTCTAGTCACGCCACGCAAACTACCCCTACCGGAAAGCCTTTGTAGGCTCCTCGGCGTCGGACCATTGCGGCATCATCACCGGTAAGTTCACTACTTAAAGTATTGGCAGCCCCCGGGCCGGCGTCAATCCCCCGCCGGCCCGCGTTGTCCTCGTACTGATTTTTAACTTAACTTTGAGTAAAAGAATGTTTGAGTAAAAGAGAATGTTTCAAGTTTCAACAAGCCTTGACGTTTTCAAGTTTGCCGGGCCCTTGCACGGGCCGCCGGCGCCCCCCCCGGGGGGGGGGCGGCGGGCGCCCGGCGGAAGTCGTGCTGCGCCGGGTGGCAGAAGTTGACTCCGGGGGCGGCGGCCGCCGGGCGGCGGCACAGCCTGGGCCGAGGGCCTCAGTGACAGTGCCTCGGACTGAGTTCACCCCGGGCCCAGTAAAAAAACGTTCAACGGTGTGTATCGGAGCTCAGTAGCAAACACTGACTCGCGGCCGGGCCTCCAACTTGATTCGGAAAACTTCGGCGAACCATAGTCACTCAGGACTGAGCGGCGATGGTAAGACAGGCCCGGATTGACCCTGATCGAAAACTCGGCCTATCCTAGCTTGTAGGTGTCACCGAATACTTGCAGGCACATGATGTCCTCAGTAGTGACAGGAAACTAAGTTGGAAATTCAGTGACGATTGAAGCGCAGCCAGCGAAAAAATCCGCGGCACTGAAAGGGTGATGGCTCGGACAGTGACAGCGATAATGCCAAGGAGAAAGCCAAGCTCCAGGCTGAGCCTCTGAGAGGATCAAGGACGAGCTTGAGATAGAGCATATGCGAGTCGAACTAAAGCGGCAAAGGAAGAAGATCAGATTCAGCAACAATGCCAAGGAGAAAGCCGAGTTCCGGGTTCAGGAGGGGGCAAAGAGAGCCAAGCTCAAGATCGAGCGAAGCAGGCTGGAACTCAAGCGGCTACAGGCGAGGATCGCCGCCAGCAGCAATGCCATGATGAGCAGGAGAAAGCCGAGCTCCAGGCTTTTGCAAGGCGAAGGGACGATACTTTACAAAGCCTTAGACAACTCAATGCTCGGCATGAAGATGGCTCTCTGCATTTTCCCAGAAATAAACGACTGTTCGTTTCCCGAAAAGTTCAAGAATTCTTGGTGGCCCGGAAACGAGCTTGTGATACGGTAGTGCTAGTATCGAGATGTCCGAGGATATCATTGCGAACAACTTTGGTTTGGACGGGAAATGATTGAAACCAAGAGAGAATGGAGAAACAAACCGAGTATTAATCTTGTTCAAACACAAAGGTTGGTATCTCTGCGACTTTTACGAGGCGGGGTCAACGTATTTTGATGGTGGATATACCAAGAACATCATCTTCTCCTCTCCCAAGGAACGTATTTTCAAACATATATATAGAGGCACTGCCAAACGATTCTTCTTGGCGGTTAAGAGAATCATTAGCATTGCAGATTTTGATAACAAGATCAGATCTGTGTATTATCGAGATTTTGAACTCCCTTCGAGTGTTGTACATCTTGTTCCAAGCCCAACATACAACTCTATGAAGGCAGGCTGAAATCTGCTCAGAATATGCGAAGGTTTTAATTTCTAATTGGATGATGAAGCGCGATCACGAAATTGCCTTCAAAGTTGCCTTCAGCGATGATGATGATGATGTTCTTTCAAATTTGGCTTCTATTCGAATTTCTTCACACCTCATCCTCAGGAATGAAGGGAAAATCTCCGGTCCTGACATCCAGCAGGACCCATCGTCTTTAACAGCTCAAAGGGTCTCCCAAATCTGCCAGCAACCGCTGAAGTAGCAGGTGACTTGTTTGTCATTCATCATCATATGCTTTCCGAGACACCAGGAGAGCTGTATCTATTCAAGATACTGTGGAAAAAGCAGCAACCCGTGCCTTATGCACCATTGTATGACAATCTTGCCAACTACTGTGTTGAACACTGTCAGAAGAGCGAACTTGATCTTTGTCCTCCCTGAGGTTCAAAAACATACGGTAGGTTGGCAGCATGCACAAACCTTGTCCATCGAGAGAGACCCGAGAAATCAGCGAGGAGAGTTCAAGTGGATCTTGGCCGGGGTTGAGTTGTTGCAAAATGTGATGTTTCTGTCTTACATCGATGCACGTGCTTTTGTGAGAGACTATGAATTCTTGCCCACAAGATCGTGTTCTTTGCCAGATCACCGTCTCCTTCGATCCAGCTCCCAACGTTGGATTAGTTCAAGCCCACAATCTATCATCTATTACACAACTCAAAACCAATCATTCCAATTATCCTGTCCCGAATCATCCAATCATTCAGACCGAGAAGACAGGATTCATTCGATCAAAAACATCAATGCTATTCATTCATCAAAGCAGCTCTGATTCATTCTGTCTGCCCAACCACATATGATCATCTTGCCATCCCAGGTGTTGGAACTTGATCTGAGCCGTGTTGGCATAGATGACCGTGCCTTCTCAACTCTATGTAAGCAATTTACTCCCCACGATCCGATGATCATTACATCTGAGAAGCACTGGCAAGCTCTCTACACTGATACACCTTGTAGGGGACGCCCTAACTTATCACATTCAGATCATCAAGACGGCACTAGAATCACAACCCGAGGGCCTTAACATTACAAGTTCGATTGCTTTCCAATGCACGGCCGATTCTCCAGGCAGGAAAACTCGTTCAGATGTTGAAGTTTCTCGGGCATCGCCGGGCTAAACAGCTAGCACTCTACATGAATTCCGGGGTGATGGCATGAAGGGACTGATCGGGATCATGACGATGGCGACGCTGTTCTTGGCGAGAGGCGAGCTTGAGAGGAAAGAAGCAGCTCGACAAGAAGACTCTCCTTCATGGTTGCGATCCCAACCTTATTCTGAGCTGCGATGGGAGGCCTCCGACTGGATCGAGGCTACCAGTTGGCTGCGGGCAGGAGGAAACCAACTCAGTGCGAGGCGATCCTGTCAGACCGCTCACAGGCTGAACCGGAGCATCCCAGCAAGACAAAGACCCTTGATCACATTTGCGACCTTCTGGACTGAAGAGAATCATGACAAAATCCTCAGCCTCGTTCATTCAATCGTTCACGATTCGTTGTTTGCAAAGACCAACAACATGCCGCGGGTTGTGATCTTCATGGACTCTGCATGCTCTCGTCAGATGAGAGACGAGCTTCAACTCTGGAGCTCAGTTAAGTTTCATCAGCTGCAGTCAGGGGGTCTCCTCTCCTCAGCAGACGACAACTACGGACAACACTCTCATCAGATCTTAAAGCAGTGCTTGCAGATGTTCGGTCCATGTGTTGTTCTTCCACCCAACGTTGCCGCAGTCAGTCAGAGAGATCTTGGAACGAGTGTTGTGAATCAGATCTCCACCCTCCTACTGGATGAACCTCTTGTCCTTCAACCCCTCCATTGTTTCTCCCAGCACGATCGCCCAAAGTCGTATGAATCCACCTGTCGTCTCATCGGCGCGGCCAACCTGGCTTCCCTGGATGCATACCTCTCGTCTGATCAGCATGCTGATACCTCGGAGTGTTCTAGGAAAGCATGCCTGTTCATCGAGCAAACGCCCGTCAAGGACCTGTGCAGCTCCCATAGGGACTCCCGACCTCCGCCTGTCGTCATGGTCTGGCCGCTCGAATCTCACTTCAGGCTCCCTCGTTCTCCTTCTCGTTCCTGCCGTGCAACTTGTTTGTTTGTTCCTCCCCTGCCTGCGCTCCTGGGCAGCGCGAGCGCTGTCCTGATTCACGTCCCTTCCCTGGACAAGACAAGCCCTCAACTGCCGCCGGTCAAGTGCAATGGGCAGCTATGGGTTCACTTCTCACAGGAAAGTAGAGGCTACACGGGGAGCTGGCTCAACATGTCTCGGTGACGTTGTTGAGTAGGAGTCCGACTCCAACTATCCTCTTCAAGCTGTGAGATGTGAAGGAGTTGGAAGCTGTTTGGTCACCCTTGGCGGCAGGAGCCCTCTTTCCGTCGACAGTTTGAGTTGAATATGACTTACCATCTTGATTCCGATGTTTGTTTCGTCCTCTCCTTGGAGCTGCCTTGGTCTTGACTGCTCTCAGGTGCCCATCACTTACGCGGACAGGCCTTTCCTCTCTGGTTCCCTTGAATTCGACAATTATGGTTGTCTGCTAATTGTTACATGCTCGTGTCTGAAGGCTTCAGATACATGCAACTTCCTCCCAAGAAGGAGAGGAGATATCAAGTGATTCTCTTCCTGCAGGATCTCACTTGTCACCATGTGTTGCGCAGGTTGTCGCGATAATCGGCAAGTGCCATTCCCACACTGGTATGACTTCAACCTGCATCTTTTCCGCTGAGTGCGTGTTTCAGGTAGAAAGGAATTCGTCCAGGAATTGTCCAGGCAGAGAATTTAAATCTTTTCAGAAAGTTTCACAGCCCTGAAGTTTTACTCAGGTATGTGAGGGTCGACTCTTATGGAGCTTGTACGCAGAACAAGTACGATTCTCCGATGGCGTAATCAGCGTTTCTCTTTCATGTTCATGAAGCCTTTTCAGGGCAGTGCCGTTTCCAGATGCTGAATGGTTCAACATCTACGGGGAGAAAAAACTGAGCCTGATGTCGAGGTGGGGATACAAGAATGATACACCCTTGCTGACTTGACCTATGAACTCTTCAGATATCTCTTCTGCATCGCTCTAGAGAATTCTCGACACCGCGATTACGTCACAGAGAAAGTTTTCCAGGTTGTTTGCAGGTGATGCCAACGGCTCATGGACTCACTGTCATCCATGACATGACAGGCGTTAGCTGCGGGATGCGTGCCGATCTACGATGGCGCACCCAATGTCGAGTCGTTCCTTCCTCGGTAGGAGACCCGTGCTACACGGAGGGTGGAGAGTGGAGAGGGAGGGGGGAGGGAAGCGAATTCGAATGGAAGGGAGCGAGGAGGGAAGGAGGAGATGGCGGAGAGGGTTGGAGAGGGAGGAGGGAGGAGGGAGGAGGGAGGAGGGAGAAGGGAGGAGGGAGGAGGGAGGAGTAGAGCCGGGTGGAGGCGCAGCATCAGGTTTTGACTGACGACGTCTTACAGCAACTCAGCCATCTTTGCTTCTAAGTTCTCATCTGCAGCAGCTCTGGGCGAGCACATCGAGTACCTTACTGAGAACTCAACGGCGTACGAAGCTCTGCTCGCCTGGAAACACGACGAGGTGATTGTACCTGCGCAAACTTGGTCCCTCCCTCATGTCTGTACAGGAGGAGCTGGAGAAGTTGCACTCGCTCGCATCCTTTGGCTCTCACACGGGGTGGTGCAGGCTCTGTGAAAAGCTGACTGCAGGGTAGCGCAGCGAGGTTTGCAGTAAAAGTTATTCCTTACAACCAGTCTCTACCCGCTGTCCTCCTTCCCCTGTCCTACCCTCCTCTCCTTCTTCTTGAAGTATTCAGGGATTTCCGCGTCCTCTCCCATATACTTCCTCAGGTCCTCCTCGTCGAAAGACTCCTTCTGCTCCACCAGAATCTCCTCAGGGGGTCGGTAGAAGGCGTACAGGGCTCCCATCGCCATGACGACAACAAGTATCCTGGCAGCAGGGGCCAGCATCCCTTCTGATGCGTCTGAGAGCAGCAGGGAGCTGCCTTGCTCGCTCAGCGCATTCGCGCGCATTCCTCCGAGGCTAAGAAGGGACATGACGGACAACAGAGCGACGCCGGCATGCTTCGACGTCAAGTCCATCCTCATCGAGGCGCCGGATGCGGATCTGAGAGCAAAACGATGCATCCTCCTTGACATGGACACGCCGCATGGTCGTAAGCAGGAGGAGGGCGCCAAGGGAGCATGCGGGGGAGCCGCAACGAAGCCTTGCGGCGCCATGGGGCCGGCGGACTGCTGAAGGGGTTGGCCCGCCACAAGTTTGTGACAAAATGGAGGATGGGATGCTGGGAAATGGGCGGTGGGATGGGAGAGGAGGAGGAGGAGATGTAGAGGGGAGGAGCCCTGTAGACATGATGGAGGACGATGAAGAAGGAGCAGAGAGAGTAGAGGAGGAGCAGGACGAGCTGGTAGAGCAACGGAGCAAGTTCTTTGCTTGCTACCTCCTGGGATCCTCCCACCCCGGTAGCTCCTTCGTGTGCAGTGGAAGGGCCCTGACGTGGCCGAGTAGAGAGGAGAGACTACACGTACGTCGGCTTCACCGTCCGGCCAGGTGGGTCTTGCTGCTTCTGCTGCAGCATGCGCTGAGCCCCCGATGCAGACCGCAGGATACGGCAGCACAACGGGGAGCTGACCATGGGAGCGCACCGGACCAAGAGGCAGCGGCAGTTCCGTTGCAGCAGGCGATGACGTCTAGTCGAACTGCAGGTGGAGACCCTGGGAGATGCTCATGTTCGTGTGCGGCTTCCCTTCCAAGGTTTCGTTCTCAACTCTCAGGGATTGAGTGACATGGCGGCAGATCTCGGCGCTGCAATTTGAGTGGGCATGGCAGAACCCGAAGAAGTCACGGCATGGCAAGCTCGCTGAGAGTGCTCTTGATGACTTGGCTGAGCATCCTGCAGTCTGGGAGGTGGCAAAGCAGCTGACGGGGGTTGGCGCAGCGTACAAGATTCATGCCAAAGTACGAGAGAGGAAACCGCATTTAACATGAGTTGAGAGTTTGTGAGCCTTGCAGGTCAGGATTTTGTATGAGATGCTGCAGTTGAAGCCTTGGAATCTGGTGAGAATTTCTTTCCCATATGTTATCATCGTCATCGTCATCGTCTTGTACAGTATCCCCTCAGGGTCGTTCACCTGTCCTCAAGACATCTCGACTTTGTGAAACGGAGCCCCGCGCCCCCATCGCATGTCGACTCTCTCTTCTCAACACTCAGCGACCCTGCAGTATCGCATCATCTCCATCTTGTTGAGTTGTTGACGCGGGAGATGTCTAGGTGAAGGAGCTGTGGATGGTCTACAATCAGGTGAAAGTTCTTTTCTGCGATGAGATCGACTGAACGCATGTTTGAATAGAAGAAGAAGGACGGATCTTTGCCAGAGCCTCCTCTCTATCAGGTGATGAACATGATCGATGTAGACATGATGTCCACATCACTTCTTGTGATCCAACACCCTCCCGCTCTCCTTCACCTGATCAGTTCCTCCCCTCCTCTCCCCTGGCCTCCCTCACTTCCTCTCTACTGCAGTGCGCCAAATGTATCCTAGATCCACTCGGAGAGGATGCGAAAAGGAGTGCGAAGAAGAGGTGAGGAGGTGAGGAGGTGAGGAGAGGCGAGCGCTAAGTTTACAGCAGCCCTCCCTTCCTCTGCTCTTGCGGTGCTGCGTACCACATCCGCTGCATTGCGAGCTGTTTCATGAAGTACATTCCCGCTGCTGTAGGATGTGCGGATGACAAACTTTGCAGAGCTGCCGTCCACCTTCCCACGGGGGAGACTGTCGCGTCGTTGGAGGGACTGATGCCTGTAGGAAGAGGAAAGGGGGATGCGGCAGAGGCGTTCGGGCGTTGAGGGGGGGAGAGAGGTGGTGGTATCGCTTTGATGGTGATAGGGGATGATAGAAGAGGTGAATGGGAGGGAGTGGTGTTGGTGTAGGAGGAGGAGGAAGATGAAACGGAGGAGGAGGAGGAGGAGGAGGAGGAGGAGAAGGAGGAAAGCGAAGATGATGATGAGGATCTGGAGGTGGAAGATTAATGTGCACGGCGTAGGTTCAAGGGAGATGTCCTTGCTGCAATGAGATGTACACCTGGGGGCAGGTGCTGCGTATGATTGCAGATAGAGATAGGTAACACCTTTTACGGTCCTGCTGCTGCTGCTGCTGCTGCTGCTGCTGCTGCTGCTGCTGCTGCTGCTGCTGCTGCTGCTGCTGCTGCTGCTGCTGCTGCTGCTGCTGCTGCTGCTGCTGCTGCTGCTGCTGCTGCTGCTGCTGCTGCTGCTGCTGCTGCTTCTCCCACAGCGTTTCATCTTCCTTCCCGTGTCCCACCTTTGAAGTGGTCTTTTGATAGAGAGCTGCTTCGGAGAGCAAGAGCGCCTGGGTCATCGGCAGCAACGAGCCCTGCAGAGGAGGAGGAGGAGGAGGACGCCCTCCTGACTGGGGACGACCAGCAGGAGATGAGCGACGAGGAGAACGATGAGGTATGCTCTGTGATTTAATGTGCCCTTCTGATCTCTCTAATAGCACATCTCGGATGCGTTCGAAGAGGAGTTCGAGATATTTGACTTGACAAGTCCTCCACAGGCAAGAGCAGCTCTTGCCTCAGAGCAAGGGGAGGAGGGAGTAGAGAGGGAGGGCGAAGAGAACGAGGAAGAGAAGAAGCGAGGCGAGAGGAAGGAGGAGGAGGTTGTAGATCTAACATGAAAGATTGGACATGAGAATATTTCACAAACGACCGTACAAGGCCTCGAGGACAACATAGATATCTCTACTATACAAGGTCTTCCACCATGTGGCTCAGCCGCGTGCACCTGCGACGAGTCAAACCTTCCTCGACCTCCTCGACCTCCTCCCGCTCACATGATGTTGATGTTCGAGTCCTCTTCGTATCTCTTCCTCGCTGCGATATCGTCACACGGCGTGACAAGGCAGCTCGGCAATGCATCACCAGCATTGAGCGACGTCTTGACGAGCTGGTGGAGGAAGAGACAGTTCCCATCGTCGTTTGACCTGTCGAGAACCTCCTGAAGGCCATGGAAGCTCAGGCGCAGGCAAGCACGTGCAGGCATGACACACCTCCTCCTCACTGCCTCCAGCTCTCTGCGACAGAAAACTTTCCTGTTCGATGAGGATCATCACAACAACGAGAGCAACAACGATCGTCGACCTCGTTCGCCTGCCAGTTCCACCAGAAAGGTAGTTTGTCCTTAAAGTTGGTATGCCTGCACACGACAAGATTCAGCGGCGACGGAGAAAAGCAAGCCTCCTCGTACAAGAAGTCTGAGAGCAGCCAATGATGGTCCTGCTGCAGGTGTTCATGCTTGAAGAGGATGATCAATAGGTTGATGCTCTCCTTCAGCACACAGCACACTTGATCTCTGCCCGTCATCGTCACTCTTCATAAGTTAAGCTCAGCAGCACGACCTGAGGTGATCCTCGGAGCTCGAGCAACGCGTCCCAACCGACTTGGTCTTGAGAGTCGTCAAGGGGCCATCCCACTCCAGCGAGGAGGAGACCACTATTGCCAGTAGCGGCATGCCGATCTCAGATCGCAGGATCTGCTGCTGCAGCTTCGCACCGACGCTGCCTTGAGCGGCTCGTGACAGGGCACGGAGGATCATCAAGGCTTTCCCGTGGGAGTAGGAGGGGTCGAGCTCGCAGCTCCTGCCGCTGGGAGCCGAGAGGAACCCCTCGCGCATGATGAACTGCTTGAGGAGCTTGATGGTATACTTGACCACCTCGCTCTCTGACTGCGGCACGCAGGACTCGCCAAGCAGCATGCAGACCGAGGCCGAGGATACGACTACCTTGACCGACTGCAGGATGACCTGCTCCAGTGCAAGTGTAAGGTGTGGAGGGATGGGGATGCGAGAAGAGAGGAGGAACACGAAGAAGAGCACAACCAACGAGATGCCGAAGAGAGGAGGAGAGGAGGAGAGGAGGAGAGGAGGAGGAACGACCTTTTCAAGATTCTCCCCGCCTGAAGACGAAGTAGATCTTCTTTTCAAGGACGTCTGGAGCTTCTTCAGATAGTGGGCTACAACAGAGTTCGAGATCTGCGTATTGAACTTTAGCCGTCATGGTTGAGGGAAGATGAAGTCAGAACCGAGGAGACTTTTGCGTTCTTGATCTTATCAACGTTGCATGGATATTGTGCCATAAACGCTAAGGCCATCATGGCAGTTTCATGGATTCTGCGGTTTGTTTCTTGAGTAGAAGCAAAGAATGACATGCAAGTCAAACCTTGACGATGAGAGAGTCGATATGGTTCGACAGAGTCCAGCGATCAGATTCGATCTCATCACCATCACGCTGCACGCCTCCTCGCCCTGTCATATTGCTTAGCGTTCATTCCAACCATCCCATCCCATCCCATCCCATCAAACTTCAAGTCACGTTATGTCTGGTCGCACCATCAAAACATTTCCTTACCAGCCTTGCACAGCACAGGATGATGTAGCTCAAGCATAAAGCACAGTGCATGTTCGTGTCGTTGTTGGCACAAAGATCCACCTCTATCAGGCAAGTCATTTTCTTAACACACTGTTATCAAGCCGAACCATCCGTTACGTCGGATTTGATTTCCCTACAGATATTTGAGAGTGTATCGCCCTGCATATTCGCATCAGAAGAGGACATGACTGGAGCAGGAGCAACTTACAATCATGTCCAGCATCCCAAGTCTTGCGCAAAGTCTCTTGCAGCTGGTCAAGCGCATCAAGGCTTCCAAGGAGCAAGCCCTTCACAACTCACCAAGTTTGATCTGTAGCTATTCTTGATAGGAAGCGACAAGCTAGCATTCTCCCCTTGACACAACCCTTTGACAGGAGGAGTTGCTCCACTGCCACAACAACTTCGTTCCACGAGAACCCATCGCATTCATGAAGCATCCATCTAAAAACCAACACGTTTGTCAGGCTTACTGCTTGTCTTTACAAGTGAACTAGACCTGCTATCGATCAAATCTCCTGCATCAATCGCGGCAAAGTGCAGTTCCTCTCTGACACATGAGCACGTCAGTCCACACAACGAACAACGTCCCGTGCTCACTGGCTAAAACCATGAGGAGAGTTCATCCTTGGCGAGCCTCCAGAGTTCGTCTTGTCCGAGATCGCACTGACAGAGTGCATCGACATCTGGTTGCGCAAGAAATTGTGCAAAGCTTCCTCATCGAGCCCTCGCTTCTGCTCGGCGCTGCCATCAGCCCTGCCTGCATTTTCACACTCCCTTTGATGGTCCATCCTTGCGTCGTCTCCACACTGCTCAAACAAGTCCAGGTCCACCGTTTCATCACCAGCTCTGCTCTCGCCGACAGCATCCGCCGCTTCTCTCTTCTGTGAAGCATCATCCTCACCTGCAACAACTTCACTCAGGTCGAAAGCTGGCCGCATGTGCGCATACCACTGTCTCGCTCCTGATTCATGGAATCTTCCTGCAGACCATCTATTCGGAATTCAACCCCTCGAGATACGGGCAGACTTGATTTCAGAGCTGGTGGCGAATCGATGCCAACCTATCACAACCGTCAGCCCACACCCCTGATGCCGGACCGTCACTTCACGTTGTGCTCAGCATCTCGGTGGACCTCCAGGGTGCCCTGCAGGAAGGAGAGAGGGAGAGTAAACGATGAGGGCGAGTTTGCAACATAGATCGAGTCACACGACAATCTTGATTCGGACATACCGCAAGAGAGAGGTCCTTCGGTAACGCAGCATTGATACTTCCGCTCTGCATGAACAAACGAGAATCAGGGAAAAAGATACTGTGACAAGAGCCAGGCAAGCATGCAGACAAACTGAGGAGTCGCCCTGATCTATTGCCGATTCATCAATCACACCTGTCTCACTCGATCTTCTGCAGGGAGAGCAGACGCCTGGTGGTGGCTGCTGCTGCTCTGTACGATGGAATGGAGCTCTGTAATCGAATTGGTCAAGATTGTTTTGATCTTTTCCCTGCTCGAAGTTTCAAGGCTGTTTGATCTGGATGACACAGGATCTGTTTTTCCTAGAGGCGACTTGCCGCTGCCCTCCAGGTTTTCATACAAAGCTTTCAGTTTTCCCACTTTCTCGCCCTGTGACATTTTATCCGGCAATCCTTCCTTGTTCATTGCACAAACACCAGCACTCATGATCAAATGTCATGCATATGAGAGTGCAAGGGAATTCAGTGTCGGTCAACTTGAGTTCTCAAGTCCAAGGGAGGCTGTCAAGGTACGGCTGAGACTAAGTGTATGAGATAAGTATCGGTGACGACTAAGACAACGATCTTGTATTACGAGCAGACGAGGATCAAGTGTGCAGTAGAGGATGATGGCGGAGAGCAGAGCGATACGAGAGGACACTATGAGTTCCTGGCGCGCAGCTGTGAGCCTAAGGAAGCTTGCGGTCCCTCCCGCTCCTCCCGTTTGCTTTCATTGCGTCATAACAGGAAAGCATTGAGCCTTGCCCATTCGGTCCTTCACCAGAAAAGATTTGTTCATCTTGAAACCTTTCTGTATATTTTGAAGATGTCATTATTGTAAGTTTGAAATCGTTATCGGAGGCTATCAGACATTTCAAAGAAGCATTTCTTTCGTGGATTACAAGTCCGCCTCGGTACATAGTAGTCATTGATCTACCCTAGTTGAAAGACACTAAACAACTGGTATCAGATCAATTAATCTCTTAATCTCGCTGCCTAACATTTTTCCACCCGTACCGTTGTCCTGGTCGGAACTGGGGTACTGTATTATGGCAACCACCGGTGGCATGACGAGGACTACACCCTCTACACCAACGTTCTTGCGGTACCCCTGCCTGCAGAAGGGGAGGATATAGTGAACCAGGGTGGAGGGGGTACGTGATTAAGTTAAAAGAGGGGTAGGCAGACTTTCCAAATACACTTCATGAGGGTGGGGTCACCCGACTATGCTTGAGGGTAGGGTGGTTTGATGGATAACGGCTACAGCCGATAAGTTTAGTATTCACTTTTAGGTTTTAGATGGACTTCTTGTACCGAGAAATGCGTATAATAAATACATTTATCCCTAAAAAGCAATACAAAAATACTTCAAATATGTTGAGTAAACTTTACGGTCCTATCGGATCGGACCTGCCCCGGCGGGCTCACCTCGCTGGTCTGACCGGCCGGACTGACCCGGCCGGGCCGAACTTCCGTGTCCCTTGTTTGTATTACTGAACTGAGATCACCGGGCTCACCTCAGGTGGTGAAGGGTCATCATTGACATGGTTGCCGGCAGCCAAGCACAGAAGGTGAGGGGATAGAGCGATGAGAATGCCTCGGCGACCCATGGGCACATGCTGATCCTGACCCAACCATTTCATGCTGCTGACCCAGCATCGCAGGTCTTGGTTTCTCTCGGCATCTCCTCTTTAGGCTTGATCGCTGCCCTTGTGGTGGTGTGGAGTTCAACCACCACGAGGGGGGCCCTAGAGGCGACATCAGAAACCGTGACAGCAACCCCACCAGTCAATCTGCCTGATGCACAGGCATCGCTCAAGAATATGCAGAATGATGCGGATAAAGCAGAGAGCATGCAGATGAAGATAAACCATTTGTGGAAGCAGGTTGTAGCAGATGCTCGCCAGGGCTTCTACAAGTACGAGAAGGGGAACCCGTACTGGGACGATTCTGTGACCTTCACCTTGGAAAAAGAGGTATGCCACGAATCTTCTTGAATCTGTTCTGATTGTTCTGTTGTAGGATAACGAGGACGAGGGCGCGGATGGTGATCAGCCGGTAATACAGGTGAAACAGTTTCTCCTGGGCTTATCACGCGTGCATGAATAGGCAGCGAAATTGACCAGCAAAGAGGCTGAACCTGATGTCGTTGTGAAGTGGGAGAAAGAGCTTGCTGAAAGCAAGGTGAAACCTAGGACCCTCACTGCGACTGTCAAGCTAACAGCAGCTTTGATCCTGCAGAAGGGGTTGGTGGCTTCTTTGCACAGCCGGGAGAAAAGAATTCATGACAGGTGTTTTTCTTTTTTGGGTGTCGATGTGAAAGCTGATGGTTGCCTTTTTGGGTTCGGAAGACAAATGAGAACACGGAGAAGGGGTTACAATCTTGACGACACAGATTTACTAGAATGAGCGATTGAATGAATGACACTTAATACTGCAACTGCTTTCAAATTCAAGGAGACAACAAGCATGGCATGATTCTAACATATCGTGACTGGAATTTACTCAAAGCGATCATCCAAGTGACGTAGCTCTAGAACGTTGTGTAATCAAATCACAACTTGCTTGTTCAGCACAGTGTCCCTCGACACCGCAACTCCCTGTTCTGACAACCACATCAACACCTGCACAACTGTGAGATGCTCCAAGAGAATGGAGCATAAAATTTCAAGACCTGTAGCCGTCCTCTGTGTGTCTCCTCCTGCCATGGAGCGAAAGCTCCTTCCCCGAGAACATACCTGCTGCACCTCTCTGGGTCCTGACATCCGTCATGGTTCCGAGCAGCGATGTCTTTGGCCATGAGGCATGCATCGAAAGCCCTGTAGACATTCCCGAGCCAGACGTCGTTGTACCAATTCTGCAGTCAGCGATCGTTGAGTCTCTTCACAGGCCGACAAAGGAAGGACCTGGAAGGTGGATGGAAGGGTCTGACCATTGAAGATGTGCAGGTGAGTTCTAGAGCGACAGACTCAGAGCAGGTGATTGCAAGTAGCAGCATTGCGAGTACCTGTGCACACAGGGCATTGAAGGGATGTCGGCTCTGCCCGACACGGGATCGTTCGGCCCGGTGACCCCAAGATTCGGTTTGAGCGTGCTGGAGGCTAACAGTGCAAGAAAGGCAGAAGGCCAGCCACTAGTGCGCATGAGCAGGTCATCGTTGGGCATGAAGAAGTAGTGACAACCGTCTCTGAACGCTGCATTGTTCAGTCCATTCCAAAGTGCAGTCAGTGTATTGGAGTACGGAAAGTCCATCATCGTGATTTTGAAGCATCCAGCTTGTCCACACTGCTGTGCCTTTGAAACACTCTCTACCTTCTTCCGAAACACCGACTCAAACGTATGCCGCCCTCTCTCATTGTCCAGAATTTTGTCTCCTTTGTCATAGCCTATCCAGAACTCGAAGGTGCACGGAAACGATGTTGGAATCGCCGTCTCCAGGAACGAGGGCAAGAAAGAGTTGAAGAACCTCATCTTCTCAATCGGCCCATCCTCGTCCCCGCGTGATGTAATCGGCATGGTAATTGCTATCCTAACAGGATCGCCCATGGTGATGTTGTTGAAGAACGGGTACGACACGCTGACATTCTTGCAAGACACATGACGGAAGGGTACCAACAGGAGGAGCGTCAAGGAGCAGTGAACCCACGTTGCACTTCGCTTCCTCCTCTTCGTAGCCATCCCTCCCCCACACGCCCTCCTCTCGCCCTCCTCTCTCTCCCCTCCTTTCCCTTACTCCTCGCACGCGACAAGTCGGAACCCCATCATGGCACGGATCTTTATCGTCTATAACGTCTGCAACCAATATGTAACGGTACCACGGCCAGCAATACCGTTGACGACGGTTATCGAGAGTTTGAGCCGGAGGGGATGGGAGCAATGTGTGGAATGGGTGAGAGGGCGAAGGGAGAGGGCATGTGGTAAGCATCTGGCTCCAGCAAGAGGAACAGAAGTCCATCTCGACATCATATCTTGCTAGAGAACTGCACAAGCTCCCTGCGTGAGAGGCTCCGTTTCACTTGTTGAGTTGTACAGCAACTTTTCCCAGCTACAGGTGTGCAGTGCTTTCTTGCGGTTCATCGGAGGCATACTTTGGCAGCGCCTTGTGCCAGCTAGGAATATTCTGTACGTGATCGTCTCTTCATTGCTCTGTCTTTGATATCTTTTGGGTTGAGATCCTCACTTCTTCCGAAAGCGCAACCGACCATCTTCTAACATCTCCGAACCAACATGCTCGCAGAGGATTTCGAAGATGAGCTCACGTGCCCCGTGTGTCTCATGCTCTTCACTGATCCTCGCACCCTTCCATGTGGTAACTCTCACAACGTCTGCCTCGAGTGTGCTAGAGGTTTGTGGCGGAATCAGACTGTCCCCACTTTGACCATCAACTGCCCGGTTTGTCGTGCTACGTGCTCCTTAGCAAATGGCGTTGAGCGACTTCCTCTCAACCTGGCGCTGAAGAACATGGTGGAAAAGCTTGAAGCTGCGCAGAAGGGGAAGACGGCAAAGAAAACCTCCATCAGGAAGAAGTTCAAGTGCGATGTATGCGAGAAGAAGCCAGCAGTCATGGAATGTGTGACTTGCGTCGTCAAGTACTGTGAGGCTTGTCTGGAGACTTGTCATCCGAAGGAGAGAGCTGTCTTCAAGGCGCATGTTGTCACGCCCATGGAGCCTGTTAGCAACCGAGAGTGCGACACGCATGAAGGGCAGGCTCTTTCTTTCTTCTGTACGCAATGTGGCGTAATGGTCTGTGCCCATTGCCTCCTCATGGGCGCTCACATTGAACATCCTCGCATCAGTCTGCACACGGCAGTCCAAGAGCGCAAGACACAGCTCCAAGAGGGCATGGAGCTGCTGAAAGCGAAACGGAATGCTGTGCTGGAATTCACGCAGAGGGCCGACGCCTCGGTTCAGGAACTGGAGCTCAACTGTAAGCAGATGCGCGATCAGGTCAAGCGAGAGTGCTACGAGCTCAGAGATCATGTTTCAAAGTTGGAAGTCAAGTTGCACTCAGTGATCGACTCCCACGAGAGGGAGAAGTGCGCGGTGTTGATGGGACAGGTTGAAGGACAGCGACAAAAACTTACCATATGGTCGTCACTTCTAGATCGCGCTGAGCAGGTCAGCCCCTTGCACAGTTTGTTTTCGACTTGTTGTCTGCTCGTGTCTTCCACTGACTGCTTGCCCTCCAGATCGTCGCAAACGAGGACGGAGCTGTTTTCCTCGACGTCGACACGCACAAGCTCGACAAGCAGGTACCTATTTCCAATCTCGTTGCCTGTCGATCTCTGTTCAGCTCAGGCTTTGTGACAGCTGAGGGGAGCGGTTGAAGCGTCTGTTTCTCCCCCTCCGATTGCAAACTTGTCGCCAGGTGGACTATGACCCAACTCAGCGGCACCTGCAAGGTTGTGACGTTTCTTTGCTAGGAGGGCTAACACTGAACATGGGGGCTGCAATCTCTTGCATTTCAAGCATGCACTTCACTGAATTTCTTGTTCCTCCTGCCCCCGCAGATCTCAAGTGATGTTCTGATACCTCTTCTCCTTGCGATGCCTGACGTAATCGCAGTTGCGCCGAGGTGACTTCGACCTCGTTGCTGTTGACATGGAACTGCCAGGTTTTTGTTTCCACCGCTTGTTGTTTTCCCTTACCCCAGCGATCAAAGACAAAGAGAGAAGGCGATCGCAACACCTACATCGTCGAGCAAGCTGCGTACGTCCTATCAGAGCATCAGGCTGAGATCCCTTGGAAGGAGATCTATCAAGTTGACCTCGTTTCGGGCCCTTGCCAGTCTTGTTGAAATCATGACAGGGTGTCAATCGCTCCTGCTCATCTTCGGGTTTGGAAGAACAGACTTCATACAGGTGTTGTTGAATCGCAAGATGAGAGCAACTCTGAGCTTTTTTCCGTTGAAGATTCCGAGTTTGCGCTGTCAACAGCAGCGGCAAGGTGAAGGAGCGTCTTGAAGGATAGCAGTGGGGGCTGATGTGTGCGGGCTACAGGGACCGTGGAGTCAAATCAAAGTTTTTTCAACAGGAGTGCCGAGGTGAACTTTTGAAACGATGAGGCTTTGAATGAGTTGCAGAAGTATTGAGAGTATTGACGACCGTGCTTCTATAGAACTCCTGGGGACATTTGTCTTGTAGATTCAACTAGTCGATCGCTTGTGTTGGCATGGGCAGGTGGGGCAGGAGACATACACGCTTCCTCGTCTTCCTTCTTACAACATGGCAGGTGAGCCAGCAAAGCGGACGCAGCACTGCACGTATGTGCTGGAGATGAGCGAGGCGGAGGAGGAGAATCGAGTTGCGGGAAACGCCAATGTGTCAAGCCTATGGCAGGTCTTGAGGCTCACTCGTTCTTGCTCGTAGCGTGAACCTGGAGGGGGCAGGAAATCTACTCGGGGCATTGGAGGACATTCCTGGTCGGAGATCTTCTTCCCGAGCAGGTTACTGGCTGTTTCGGCCCTGCTCGCGCGCTCTGATTTACAGCTCCCTCGACCAGACTTATCGGTTCCGAGTTTGTGGGGTGAACGCACTCGGACGAGGAGACTACTCTCCTGTCAAGGTTAGACCTGTTGCTGCCTTCAAATTTTCTCGTCATTCCCGTGTGGCAGTCGTTCACTACACCTCCACAAACTGAAGAGGTGATACACCTATCCTTTTTCCCTTCCTAAGTTTTCTTCTCCTTCGCCCCTTGCACATTCCATGGCTCTGCCTCCACCTCTACCGTTTCTTCCTCATAATATCATCTCCTCCTCCTCCTCACCTTCCTTATCTTTCACCATCCTTGTCCTCCTTGCTTCTCTTCCTTTCTCCTCTAGTTCTCTTTCTCTCGTACCACAAAGTTAGTCTTATACCCCGACTCAGGAGGCATCCTGGCCGGCTGATGGGGAAGTCAACGACGAGAGCCAGTCTGCTTGTCCGCTTGTCGAGGTGGAGGGATGACGATGCGTGCCGCAGGTGTGACGACGTAGCTGAGCAGAGTTTGAATGCGCCCAGCGAAGCCGAGAACACGGTTGACCAACCTGACTAACGCAATCGCCAGCATAGCTGAAATCTTTGTTTGCACCCAGATTGACGAGAATGCAACGGGCAATCTGTCTTGTCCCATGGAGGAAGAGGATATGGTTCCTAGATAAGCGAAGGTGGGGAGGGGATCGCGATTTCTACATCTTGTAAACACATCAGAAATACAAAGAATAGCACAGGACCGCCATGGGCCTGGATTTGCCTTCTGGCCCATCAAGCTTTCTTGGAGTCGTCAGTCTTGCGAGTCACTAACGCCTTGTAGCACCAAAGGAAGAGATAAGCCTGCTGATATATCACCATGGCAGTCAAGATCGAAATAGGCGCTACTGACCATCCCGAGGCGAAAAGCTGGTGCAAGGGAGGAGGGCAATTTGCCGCATATGCTGCTGTAGATGAGCAGCTCAATCATGCAGACAGTAGCTCCAAGGAAGTCTCCTATCACTCCTCCGATCACTTGATTCCCGTAGATCCCGGCGATGAGCGAAGACGCCATGGTGATAGCAAGGGCGACAAGGGCTTGTTGTACGCCGATTGCAAGAGAGGCGATGATGGAAGCGAGCACGACAGAGAAGACGATGCGAGGAACGGAGAGAAGCTCCTTGCTGCGAGCGAACCAGTTGTAGAACCCTCCCTTGAGATCCTCCTCATCTATGACGTAGTGGCAGCCTCGCATGAGGACAGGCCCTGACAGCCTCGCCAAGGCATGTGCAGCAACTAGCGCGGGGCCGGCCCCTTGTCCCCCGCCGACTCTCCACTCGCTCGGGCCGAGAGAGGCGAGGAGATGAACTTTGGCGATAAGGAAAAGGGCGAGGGCGATGCTGCCGTAGGTTCCTACCCGGGAGTCCTTCATGATCCGCAGTATCTGTGCCAAACTCCACCCGCCCCCGAAGGCGTCGACCGTATCCCCGAGCCCGTCCTCGTGGAAGCAACCAGTCAGCCGCACAGAGGCGGCAACAGACGCTGTCGCTGCCAGGCTGAGAGGTAGCACCGATGCCATGAAGTCAAACCACAGGGCGCTCATGAGACCGACAATGGCGCCAACCAGGGGGAACCTAAGGGAACGAGATGAGCGAGAAAAGGCGCTAGAGGGGACTTGCACATGCCATGCCATGCCACGGACGAGCACCCCGGGATGTAGATCACACCACATGGGACATGGGAGTCTGGTCAGGAAGAGAACGCTGGTGAGGAAGCATCTGGTCTCAGAGGCGTTCTTGGCGTAATCCTCGTCTGACTCCTTTGGTATCCCCGTCAGCAACTCTCCCATGCAGGCCAATGTTTACCTTTGCCGTTGTCCCTGACCCTCTCGAAATGATCTCATCAGCATCGACAACACCTGTCTTTCGTTTCGCGGTCTTCTCTGACTCTTGAGACATATCTGTATGGAATGCAAAGTCACTTTATACATCTGAATCCATATGAACACTTTCGTTTCTTTCTTACTTCTTCTATTGTCTACGGCTTACAAGGAGCCTATTTTCTTGACGAAATTCTTTCTTCGCTCTTGAGGCCATCGTACCTGTCATTCTGCCCCATCCCTCCGATTCCACCCTCCTTCTTTCTTTGTTTACACATTCTACACGTTCACATCAGAACGATCTTCATGTCATCGTGGACATGCTGATCATTTCAGTGTAAGTCTCTCCATTCATCATCATCGTCGTCATCATCATCATTCTCTTCCTCTTCCTCTTCCTCTTCCTCTTCCTCCTCCTCCTCCTCCACTCCTTCATGTTGATACCACACTTCGCTTTCATCGTGAGCAGGAGAAGCCGCGCGACTCGAGCATGGTCGCACCTCGGGGCATCCCAAACCAATACGCCCACACCCTATCCCCTTGTTTCCCTACACCCCACCCCTAGGGAAGAGGATTTTAGCAACTGCAGGGGTGGGTGGGTGTCAAGTTTACACAGAAGAAGGGGGTGAATTTACTTGGAATGTACGGGGTGCTCGAGATATTCAAATAAACAGGGGGTGGTTTATGGGTTGAGCGTGGGGTGGGGTGGTGACGTTGGGGAGCATGCTGTTGTAATGCTGCGGTGGAAGTGCAGGCGGGCGGAGGCATGCAAGAAGAGCGGCAGGCTGGAGGATGTCGAACATGATCGTCAACACCATGATGAATCACGTTGAAGACGTTCACCTTGGAAGAACCTCTTGCTCCATCGGAGCACCCTGCATCGACTGAAGGTGTCCACGGCATCAAAATTTGGCTTGCCTTGCTTCGTCTTTCGCTGTTTCTACTGCTTCCAGATATACTCTGGTTGGATCAGATTCAGCTCTCACTCGCAGAGATCTCCTCTCGCCCTTCGCGTCTATGCTCGAAATGGAGAAGATGAATCTGAATGGTGTTGAAGTAGAGGAGTACGAAATTGAAGAGGCAGAGGAAAGCATCTCCGACACGACGCCCCTGCGCCATTCCAGACAGGAGATCATCGAGGACAGGAGGAAAACTTTCAGCATCAAGGGAATTTTCCGCTCCTCTGACAGGAATTCGTTGAACGAGCTCAGCGGCATCGAGCTACGCAAGATTACTTGGGCCGACGACGATATGCACCAACGCCCTCTGGAGGAAGAGTTCATCATTCCTCCCCGACCGTTCCTGAGGAAGAAGGCGGTTCATCAGATCTTCTTCTGGTGCATCTTCTGGTTCATCATGTTTGTTCTCATCGTTCTGTGGGTGTTGGCAGCAAGGAAACGAGCAATGTAGGAAAGCGCTCGGGTGGGAATGAAAAGGAGATTTGAGAACGAGGAAGGCGATATGCGAAAGAAAAAAATGGCAATGTACATGTGTAAAGTCTCACTGCTGTTGTTGTCCTCTATAAAATACAAGTTTAGTACATCTCACTTGACTTCTGATCCAACGGGAAATGCCCTCTGACGTCACCATCTGTTCCATCAACTGCCAAACCTGTCAGGTTCCAACCTGATTTCCGCCATGCAACGGGTACCTGCATAGTTGAAGAGCTGCCAGGGCCATGACGAGCTCATGTCCATCTTCTTCACACCCGGTGGGAGGTCGTCGCCATGCTGGAAGCAACGGAAAGTCAACGTGGTCAAGGCAAAGGTGCGGCAGCTGATACCTGCCATCCCCTGTAGTCGTAGGCCCTGTCGTCATTGTACGCCCTAATAAGATCATCACCTCACGACCACTCGTGAACGTCCTCCCGTGACTCACTTGCGATATGTCCAAATCAACCCGTCGTCGCCGAGCACATCCTCATTGCTTGCCCCTGCGAGACACACGAAGTTCCATGAAATCGACACAAGCCATGAATCATTTTACCTGCCAGGCCACCACCAAGATCGATGTCTTCTCTCCAGAAACCCTTGTAGCCATCGGTGTCTCTGTTTGCTTTTTCTTGGTCGGTGGACTGCACCATGATACTCAGACATGAAGCAACGATATGACTTCAAGGTATTCTATCACTTGATCGAACGACAATCTCCTGTGTGTATCTTCCTCAGGAGAGAGCGACGAATGTCTGTTAGAACAAACGTATCAGTTCAACCGTTCAGTGATTAGAAATATTATCCTCACCGAAAGAAATCATTCTCCTTCTCAAGGTAATCGGAAATCTGATCCTTGCCCCCCCAGAAGCTATCATAAGACCTGATTGTGGCCTTGAGAGATAGAAGGAGAGCAATGCAACAGGTACCTGCCCCCACTGCTCACATCGAATTCGTACGTTCTTCGAGCTGGCAGTTCGTCCTCGGGGTAGCCCATTCCATTCTCAACCTGCAAATCCGAGAGGACAACATCACAAAGATATCACTTTGCGTCTCTGTTTCTCTCACCGGCCAAAAGTATGAGTACCGATCTTTGATCTCCGCACCCTCTGGCTCCCCCTCGGGGAACTTTCCCGTCCAGCCTTCCTTCCCAACCTGCCGTGACTTTCAGGAGGTCGATCGAGTTTGGAGCGAATCAGAGCAGTCCACAACGACGAAAGCACTTGCTCACACCTCAAAGTCCAAGTCTGCGTTGTTGAAGACGCCTCCCCCGTCAATGTAGGCATTGAGATCCCCGTATGGATATCGCTCCCATCCACTGCTTTTGTGTCAACAAGTTGCTATCTGAAGCCACCCACAGAACAACCTGCCGGTGACACTCAGCACTCTCCCTGAGTAGGGTGTATGCCCGTAACCCTCCCAGTCATCCTGACAAATCAGCATTCATATGAGTACCAAAGGTTTTGTTGGGAGTAAGATCACCGCGAAGGCATCGGGACTTTCCTCGCTGTTCCAGTCATCCGAATAGTAATCGGTCTTTGAGGGAAGACCCTGCATGGACATCTCAGTAACAAGAAATGCTCCAGTGCGAGCTTACAAGCCACTCATTGTCTAATCCCCTCGCCCCGGTTGCTTCGAGAAGCGAGGTCCTGACAAGTGAAAACATGAGCAACAAGACATGGAGGTAGTCTGCCTACCGTTTGAGATCTTTGGCCGATTGCCCACTTTCGGCAGATAGAAACTGCGCATGGGTTCATGGAAGGCAAAAAAAAATGCGCACAAATACCGTGAGGCACACTGCGGCAGAAACGCAACAAGCTAACGCGCCAAGCCTTGCGCTTTGCTGTCGGTCAAGCGGCGCCATGCGCAAAACCAAATTCTTCTGCAGGTAAAACTCAACAAATAGTGAGGACCCCACACATTGATTCAGCGATCAACGGGCTGATCTTGTACGCGAACTCTGCTTTCTTCCAGAGCAAGCTCTTGCAATATCTTTTCATGTTTCATCGTTGTTCACCGCGGTGTACACAAAGTCAAGTGATTGTCTAAAACCATTACGCAATCGTTCCATCCTGGCTATCAAGAGGATGTCCATCACTTTCATCTGCCTCTACCGCCTCTACCACTTCCCTTTCCTTCCCCTGGCTTCCAGGCCATTGCCTGACCCTTGGCAAATCGGAAATCTTTTACTCATCATAGCTTTCGAATAGTCCGCCTCAATGCATTCGGGTTCGCGCGCGAAATGCAAGGGAAGAGCGGAGGAGGAGGGGAGGCGCGTGGGCATAGACGCATGATCCTGAGAGGGCTGAGCTGACGGCAGCTTCGATATATCCTTCTTCCTCCTCTCCTCACTCTTGCGTCAACAAACTTGACGCCATAACCTCGCAACCTCCTTTTGTTCAAGGCTCGGCTCTTTACCAATCTGTATCTCCCCTTTTACTTGCCTTGATCTTGAAGTTCGTCCTTGGAGCGCGTCTTGTGCTGTTCTAGCTTCACTGCTACACACATGGCCAGCAAGGAGGACACGTCGCTTACTAACATCCTTAGCTATGATTCAGATCAGAGCTCCGCCAACGGCGCAAATGCAGAATCTACCGAGGCAGGAAACGAATGCGAGCAAGTAGCGGCTTCAGAAGCAACCGCTCAACCGACGAACGCTACTACCAAAGATGTTGCTCCAGAGACTGTGCCTGAGGAACATGCAGAGAAAGCCCAGGGTCCACCATTGGTCGTGGAGGACGGTGGCCGGGTTAGCATGAAGAGGGCGAGGATGGAGGATGAGGACGAGGCAAGGGATGACGACAACATGCCCGCCAGGAAGATTCTGAAGACTGAAGTTGAGCAGGAGGAAGGAGGGGGGATCCATGAGACCTCCCGTGAGAATAGTGATAAACCACAACCTGCTGAGCAGGAAGTATCATGCGAGAAAAGTGCCGTTCATGACAATGACGGGCCACCAGTGGTGGTATCGGTGGGAGCAGAGAACGGTAGCGATGCTCATAGAGATAATGAGGATAAGGCGGCGGTAGAGGAGACGGCGGGAGCAGGTCATGCCAGCGCTACTCATGACGTGAGCACTACGCATATGGTTGAGGATTCAGAGGGAACAGGCGACGGGAGCGCTCGTGATGGAGACAGAGAGGGGAAGGAAGCGGTAGCGAAGGAGAAGGAAGGGGATGACGATAAGATGAAGGAAGGAGATGATGACAAGACTTCCTTGGCCAGCCAAGGCGAGTTAGGAGCACCAGAATCTTCGAGCGAAGGAGTCCGGGAAGGGGAAACGTTGCAAGACACCTCGGAAATGTCAGGAAAGGATGGTATTCCGGAAATGCCCGCTGGTGGGGTGAATGTCTCGACAAGGGAGGAGATCAAAAGTTTGGCTCCATCCGGAACTGGAGCTGATTCGAATTCTGGCATGCAACATGCGCCCCCTGTCGACCCTAAGGAACCCAACATGCCTCCGATTGCGGTCAGAAATGTTCTCTCCGTTTTGCTAATTCTTTCTCTGTGTATGTGGTGCATGAAATCGGATTGATACCCTTGTCTTGGAAAACAGGGGAATGGAGGTGATATGAGAGCCGGAGAAGAAACATGCGTTGGATCCGACATTCCTTCAAACGTACGGGTGTGATAGCGTCTTATTCCTTCTGTAATCCGCATGCAGACAAATACCAATCCAATTGCCGTGCCTGCGACGAATGAAATCTCGCTTATGCCTGCAATTGAGGCCCCCCAAATCCCAAAGGCAGCTCCAGAGGTGTTGTGATTTGAATTCAACGATTGTTGGTAACATTCCACTTTTCAGGCTAGCTCTACAGTAAACAAAGCATCACTGCCCAGTGGTGGGCAAGACTCAGAAAAACCCATCAGTCAGCAATTGCCGTCTCAAACGACTCCAAGCATCCGACCAGAGCCTCGTCCTGACCAGAATCAGGCAAGGCAATCAAACGACCGTGAAACCGAATACGCGAATTTTGTGGCAAACCACGGACTGAACACTACTCCTTCAGCCAAAGTGACGCCATACCCAATGACGCCTTCGAGTGTTGATAGAATGGGCACGCAAATGGATCCGCAGTCAGCCAAAGGGTTGGGTGGCGATGGCCAGATGATCTCCAGGGTAGATTTAACACCCAAGACTCCTGCCCCGATACGTGGAAGACCTCCAGGTTCCAAGAACAAAAAGTCGGATACGGAGAAGACGAAACGATTCTCGCTGGATTCCCTATCACTTGGAGAGTCAGGGAAGAAGAAAAACGTGCCAAGGTTTGACCCTCCTGAAGATCCAGCAAAGTTTCTTTCCTTTGTGATTTTTTATCTTCGAGTCGAACAACGCAGCCAAGAAGCCGATGATCTGTTGGATCCGAGCAAGATGCCAACAGTGTGCGGGCAAGCTGTCAATCTCTGCGAGCTGTATCATATAGTTCAAAACAAGGGCGGAAAGAACAGGATGCATAGAAGGTTGTGGAAGACAGTTTTGAATGAAATGAAACTGTCGGCCGATGTACAGGCAGATGCAAAGGAGCTGGAAAATATTTATAACACTTACTTGCAATTCTGTGAAGACAAGACTTGGAACCCTGAAGACTTGAAGAAGAATGCTGAGGATCTTGCTAGGGACCCCTCGAGCGTTACTTTGAAACAGCTCTTGGATGCTGGCTTTCTCAGCCTTGATGCTGAACTTTACTGGCAGAAGAAACACCCAGAGAAAGGGCTACTTGGCCCTGTTTTTGGAAAGATCACATTAGATGGCCAGATTGAGTTCGAGGGGCAGAAACACAAGACGCCTGCTGCCTTTGCCAGTGCTGCATGCAAGTCTTTGACAGGCAGGAGCCTGAAAAGGAAGCATGATGGCTGGTCGTCCGTCCGATACAGGAATCGCACACTGGAGTATTACAAATCTCAGTATATAGACCGCAACTCGAGGAAGAATATCACGGGCATGCTACAACCCGAACAGTACTTCGCTGCACATACAAATCTGCTGTCCAAACAAAAGGAAATTATCGAGCAAAGAGAGGAGGAGGAGCGGAACCGAGCTCTTGCACAGGAAAGGGAGAAATCGGCAGCCAAAAAGCCTCCGCCCTTGTGGATGTCCCCCGAGGAAGACGCTCGGGTTGCTGAAGAGATCTCCAAAGGAAACGTCGTTGTGAACACGACTCTCATAGCACAGATCGAATCCGAGAGCCTCAAGGGAGCAGAAGAAGCACGAAAGTTTCTCAGCAGCGTCATAACTGCTATCCGCAACGGCACCATGCCAGAGTTGGTGAGCGGCCTGACGGTCACCCCCCGGGCTCTGAACAGTCTCAGTAAATGTTTCTGGTATTGGATCCGCCGCACGAACTATGTGCCGCCTCGAGGACAGTGGAAGATAGACGACGACATGATCGAGCGGCTTCACGAAGAACTGGCACCAAAGAGGAGGAGGGTGGGCCGAGCGCTAAAGCATGGGCTCCGGATGAGCCGATGGAATGCAAGTCACCTGCCTCCAGGATGGCGACGTGAGATCCGGGATGTCACTCTGGGGTACTACAACTACATCTTGCCCGATGGCAAAGTCTTTCCAACATTCGCCAAGGCTCATGAGTGGTACAGCGGCATCACGCAGCAGGAGAGGGATATCATTGATGCAAAGGCCGCAAGTCAGATCGATGGCGCCATGCCTGGACAGAGCGCAGAGCAGGGACAAGCGAATGCCGGCGGAGAAGAAGCTGGGCAAGCAATGAGCGAAGAGGAAGGGAACGGCGAGGGGGGCAATGCGCAAGGGAAGCGAGAAGGGCCTGTAGATTCAGAGCAAGTCGGAATAGACGAAACGAACGCGTTGAAGGAAGAGGATTCTGAGAACGAGCGTGTGAATGATGAAGGGCAGGATGCTTCCGACCGTCCTCCGCTACCTGAGGCTGCCGCTGGGACGCAGGGGGCAGAGGATGAGCAGGAGAAGTACAAGTTGTGGTTCTGCTCTTGTTGCTCGAAACCAGTCTGTCAGAACGTGGTGATGGAAGACTTCATCAGCAGGAAGCTCTGTCCTGAGTTCGATGAGTGCCAGCAGTACGCAGCGGTAGTCCGTGAGTACTTGATCCTCCTGAAGCATCTTTGCCAAATCAACAAGGGGATGCAAAGAATAGGATCGAATGCTTCAACTCTACAGCTCCTAATCGAAGTCGTCCTCGCCGGAGCTCATAGCAACTTCGACCACAAACCCCTCGACCACCTTGCGATCGAAGTGCTTCTAGGTCAGCCTCTAAACCCATCCTCGCCTTGCGTTTCTCTCTCACTTTGTTCACTCTCAATGTTTGTGACTACTTTCTTGATCCCTCAGCGGTTGCCCCAGTGATCAATCTCAGAGTCTCGCCGGGAACAAGAATTTTGTCGTTGATATCTGACGTACGAATCTTGATACATGTGACTGTCCACTCTTGACGCAGTGAGTAGGCTTTGACTCGAGCGTGTGATAGTCATCGATTTGACACCGCCAGCATGCTCGCGTTTCTGGTAGCCAGGCTGGCTGACAACCCGCATAACATGCAGGTAGAGAGATCTTGAGAGTGCGAGCGAAGGACTAGTTCTTGATTCCATCCAGGTGCTAGTTGAGAACGAAGAGCAGATCATGCCAATTCTGCTGTCTCTCGTCATGTTCCCGAGGAACGAGACGCTCATCGCTCTCGCCCTCGAGGCCATCCAACGGCTTCTCTCTTTCAGCTTCACCGCTCCAATGCTGCGCAGAATACACTCCATCCAGGTTGAACCTTGCCGGCGCTGTCTTACCTGCATGCTCGGGAGAGTTTCTCATATCTGGCATAGGGATGTCTGGGCGTGTTTGTCCGGCTGGTCTGCGGGAAGCCGGTGATGATCGCGTTGCACAGAAGCACACACATCTCCAACGAGGATCGGATTCGAGCTGCAAACATTCTCCTCAAGGTGGCGGAGGGATCGGGCGGCATAGCTGCCCTGCAGGTCGACAGAGGTGGAGGTGTGAAGAGGGCGTGACAAGCTGGACAGGAGCACGAGCAAGAGCTGGTCGAGCTGCTGACCAACATTAACCTATCTTTAGGGAAGTACAACAACCAGAACGATGTCTCTCATTTGACAGTCCTGCTGGTAAACAATTAATTTGCAAGCTGGCCGGTTGAAATGATGCTTGACAGGCATCCATCATGTACGCGTTGGTGCCGACTGAAGCTCCCTACCTCAAGGCGCTGGAGGTAATCACAAGGTTTTCAAATGATGATATTGAGCTTAAACACTTGTTGAGCAGAAGTTGGAGTATGACACCAGTTACGGGTGAAGACGCTCATAATAAATGGACAATACATGAACATGGATCAGAAACAATCAGTGCATCATCGCGAACGGAAAAGGTCAAGAGTAGCAAAATGGTTCAAACTTGGCTACACTGTTTACTCCGCAGCCATGGCACAACCAGGTTTGTGCTAACAGCCTATGGACGATGCAGCACCTTTAAGGCTGAGCAACATTAACCGTAGCAACGGATGGGGTCGTTGCATCCCTTAGCGGCAGACTGCTTGGAGCCAAAGCGTCCTCCCTTCTCAAGGTACTGCTGGTGATACTCCTGCAAGGGCAAATCAACATGAATCGCAATGCTTGGAGAGCAGCGCAAAGTCGAAGCTGAGGAAACAAAAAAGGACAGAAGAGTTTGACTACTCCTTGATCTGGGAAACTAATGTACAGAACTCCCATTACATCCTAACTTACCTCAGCTGGATAGAAGACTTTAGCGGCCTCCAGCTCGGTGTAGAAGGGAGCTCCGTTGAGCTACTTTCTTGTTAATTCCTCCCCCTTGCCTGCCCTCTCTCTCCCACACACCTTGGCCTTCACCTCCTGGATAGCCTCTTCAGCCTCGGCCTGCAATCGTCTGTCAACCATCTCTTTCCCTTCCTCTCTCGCTGACCTTCTGCTCGGGAGTATGAAAGTAGATGCCATGGCGGTACTGGCTGCCGCGATCATTGCCCACCTGGTCCTTGAGTGAAGGGTTGATCCTGTATGGACATGTCAATTCCTCCTTCCCTCTAGCGCGTCCACCCTCTTGACCATACTTGCCGAAGAGAACCTGGCAGAGCTGCTTGAAGGAGACTTCCTTGGGATTGTAGGTGAGCTGAACTACCTCAGTATGTCCAGTGGCTCCGGTGCAGACCATCTCGTAGGAAGGGTGCTCAAGCTCTCCTTGAGCATAGCCAACGGCTGTCGCCACAACTCCAGGGACTCTCTGGTACACCAGCTCGATCCCCCAGAAGCATCCTCCTCCAAAGGTGGCGATAGAGTGTCCGGCCTGGTCGAGCATAGTGAGCAGCAGAAGCCGCGCGACTCGAGCATGGTCGCACCTTAGAGACTGACTTCACCTGTCCCTCCTTGGCGTACTCCGCTGCCTCGGCCTGAGGACAGCACAATGTCAGTTCCTGTTGGAAGTCGAGAGCAACTCAGCCCGAGCTCACCGCCCACGTGCCGGCCTTGAGGTCACTGTACTCGCGCTTGCCGCTTCCTCCGAAGAGTGATCCGAGAAGGCCCATCCTTGTTCCCTGGTGCGGTATTAGCCCGACCACAACGAGTTTATCGGGCAGAACCTGAAGGCCACGACGAAAGGTGGTAGAGGGCTTTGCAGATAGTGGGAGACGAAAGTTGGAGCTTGCGAGAGCTTGCGAGAGCGCGGGAATGCCCTTGAAAGGAAGAAAGCGAGCCTGGACAAAACAAAACAAATCATTCTGCAATTAAACCACCGCAAACAGCAGTTGACTCAACGGCCTGCAAGCCCCCCTTCATCAAGACTTCATCGATTCTACATCTGATGTATGCAAGACCAACAGTCCAAGAGAAATCCAAAAGAATCAACGAAAACACAGGCTCCCATCAATCCTACGGCCTATGGCATGAGACCAACACAACTCTCTAGTCTAGGACCAGCCCACATAGAGGAAGAGAACATGAGACGACCAGACGTTGAGCTGATCCTTGCACACCTGCTGGCCCATGAACGCATGTGCTGATGAGGCTGCGAGTGGCAGCGCCATCATCATCGCCATCGCTCCTCTGCCCCGCGCCATCGCCTTATACCTGAGACGAACTACACATCTCCCACCCCACCCCCTAGATATCAGAGAGATGCACCCCTACATCTTTCTACCACCCTACCCTTACAAATACATGCCATTTCTTTTAACGCTCCATCCACCCAATCTACCCCCGATTTACAGTCATAAATGTAGGGTCATCGTCACACCATGTCACAATTCGCAGAGTCCACACGTCACCTGGTTGTGAAAGTTGTGCTGAAAACCAGATAATTCTTCATATTTATCCCAAAACATGAGAGTTGTGTTCTAACAGCCGGGGGCGCTGAGCCTCGGCCCCTGATCCCGGATCACTGGCTCGGGACCCCGGCGGCGGCCCGGCCCGGTCGGAGCCTGCGGCTCGGACTCCAGCTCAGTACCGTACGATGATCGTGACTGACCGGCCCAGCCTCCGAGGCTCCGCGGACGTCGGACCGTCCGACCGTCACGGTCAACCCTGATCAGGGCCCGGTCGGAGAGTCACAAAGGCTTGAAAGGCCGCTGCGCCGCCGGCGGGCCGCGTTCTCCGGCGGACGGCTGGCCCAGTGGGACACTGCAAGGGATTCGGAGCAGTGCAGACTCGGATGCTTTCTAGCAGACTGATGAAATCATTGGCAGTGAAGCTCTTTCACTGTAGGCCCTGACTCCAGCAGTAATAGTGAACTCAGTCCCGCCGTCAAAGCCTATCCACGGCCGGCGTGCCAAGGATCATTGTATTTCCAAAGTTAGTCGCATGATGTCTTCGGCAATGGCGGCCAGTCCGGGCCGCGAGGCTCTCTCATTCTACTGAAGTTTCAATACGTCTTTATTCCCATCCCTCGCTACGGTGAGCCACTGTTACCATTGCCACTGGATACACAAACATCAGCCACCATCCACAAGCATGCAACAGGTCTTGACAGTCATGGGCCACTGTTCGCAGTAAGAGTCGTTTGACCAAAGGCGATTATGGTACGATATTAAGATGCTTCAGTACGAGCCCCATCGTCCTATTCAATTCATCTAACTTGCTGTCCATTCTGTTGAACTTGCTGTCCATTCTGTTGAACTTGCCCTCCATTTTGTTGAACTTGCTCTCGACCGTGTTCTTCAGATCCTGCATGACTCCAAAGATATTCCTGTACGGAGTGTACATCAAAAAGAACGGTATCCTGGCAGGTTCCACCATCGGTGCCAAATCATACTTGGCGTCAGAAGCCAGAGAAAAGAACTCCCTCATACACAAACTGACTATCTCAAACTCCTCTCTCTTGCCGTTCATCAACAAGCCCATCGCCGCGATCTTTGTGTCTGCACCAATCATGTCGTCCTTCAATACATTGTACAGCCGATTGACCTGGAACAGCTTCTCAAAGACCTTCCCTGGCTTCTCCGTGATCTCAAAGCACATGTACTCCCCCTTTCTAATCTCAAAGTGCTCATACGAGACTCCAGGCTGTCCGAATATCTTCACGTCCGCAGCGGGTTGGTCGATCACGTCCTTGAAGATGGTTTCAAGATCCGTGTCCTCGTCAAAGCTCACGCACAGGTCGGCTTGGAATTCTGTTACTTTTTTTAAGTCTGGAGTTTTAGGATCCAATCGACTGATCGTCAAGTGACTCTCATCATGGCATTCCTTCAAGCGTTTGCTATACTCATTGCACGCGGCGTCGACCGCAGCGTTAAACCTCTTCATGTAGCCATCAGTGAGAACGCCACTCTCTGCGAGCTTGCGACTCATCTCCTTGTCCACTCGGAGTTTCTCCCGTCGTATACAGCCTGGACTCGCACATCTGCTGAGGATAAGACTTTCATACGCGCCCATATGATGCACGAGGTCGAGAGGAGATCTCAGGCATTGATAGTCAGCCTTGCCTGATGGATCAGGCTTGCTCGAGCTGAGCATGCGGTGGGGCCATTGCAGCAAGCTGTGCATGCGGTACTGAGGCTTGCGTCTCATCCAGCCTGGACTCGCACATCTGCTGAGGATAAGACTTTCATACGCGCCCATATGATGCACGAGGTTGAGAGGAGATCTCAGGCATTGATAGTCAGCCTTGCCCTGCATTCTTGATGGATCAGGCTTTCTCGAGCTGAGCATGCGGTGGGGCCATTGCAGCAAGCTGTGCATGCGGTCACGGTAGCAGCACCTATGTAGCGACTTGACAGTAGTATTCATGTCCTGATTGTCCTCACACTGATCGTAGCCAAGCAACCTGCCGCAGCTTTGGGGAAACTGGACTTTTAAACTGATTATACAAAGCCTCTTTTTAAATCCGCCCAGCCCTACCACATTCTACAACCCTTTTTGGAAACCTCCATACGAATCTCTGTACCGTGTAGAGCCCATCCTGACAAAGTTTGGTAGGGCCACACGACCTCCCCCGTACCTCCTCGTGTACCAGTTGTACCTCATATGTATAAGAGCTCCAGTACCTTGCAGTTCCCAAGAAATGAGATATCAACCTCACCTCGTACAAACCCAGCGCTTCATGCGACCCAAGACCGTACGGTGTGACTACCCGTGCTCAACTGCTGAGCCCTGAGTCAACAACAGGGGTGGGGAGCGTAGTGTTTGTTGCCGCCAACAAACTTTTTGAAGTTTCCCGCCAGAACTGATCGGAAGCCGCGTCCGAGACTCCGACTGAGTTCCCGCCTTTCTGATTCCCGCCGTCAAAGTCCGCGGCAGGGGCCGGGTGACGACCGCAGGACGCCGGGCGACTTCGATCATCCCCGCCTGCCTCGCACTGCGGCAACCGTGCCGCCGCACTGCAGCGGGAGTCAGCCCTGGCAGTTCGGCCCGGTGCACCGAGAAAATCAGGACTCGAGATCGGATTATCCGAAGTTGAATCCGGCGTGCCGCAGTGCCACGCCCGGCGCCCGGAGTCCGTGTCACCCAGTCCGCCGGACTCCGGAGTCACCGTCCCCGCCGGCCGGCGGGCCGGCGCGGCTCCGACTCGGCGGCGCCCGGCGCCGCCCCCGGCCGCGGTCGGCAGCACAGTGACTGGTCGGGTCCGATGATCACCCGCCGACGGTACCGCCGCCGACTCCGACGGTCGGACTCAGAGGCTCAGTGACCGGGTACTACTACCCGGGAGCCCCCGGGCCCCGGGGCAAGCGCCGGGCCGCGCCGCGGCCGATCGCCGCACTGCCAGTCCCGGCAGGCCCGGCTCACTGACTCTGACTGGTGATGCGGCATCGAGGGTTGTCCGGTCAGTTCCAGCGGCTCACGGTCACTCAGCCTCGGACCGTCGTACCGTCACGGTCAAGCCTCCTCGATTCTTGAAGAGAGTCTCCTGATTATCCACGTACTCAGTGATCAAGTTTAGATTGCACACCGTCTACCGCACAGCGGCACTGCCAGTGATCAGGATCGGAGAGTCACACTGAAGGCTGCTGAGCCGCCGCGTTCTCCGGCGGCCCGACGGCTGGGACACTGCAAGGGATGAAAGTTCGAGGGGCAGACTCGGATGCTTTCTAGCAGACTGATGAAATCAGTGAAGCTCCTTCACTGTAGGCCCTGACTCCAGCAGTAATAGTGAACTCAGTCCCGCCGTCAAAGCCTATCCACGGCCGGCGTGCCAAGGATCATTGTATTTCCAAAGTTAGTCGCATGATGTCTTCGGCAATGCGGCGGCCGCGCCAGTCCGGGCCGCGAGGCTCAGCGGCTCTCTCATTCTACTGAAGTTTCAATACGTACTTTATTCCCATCCCTCGCTACGGTGAGCCACTGTTACCATTGCCACTGGATACACAAACATCAGCCACCATCCACAAGCATGCAACAGGTCTTGACAGTCATGGGCCACTGTTCGCAGTAAGAGTCGTTTGACCAAAGGCGATTATGGTACGATATTAAGATGCTTCAGTACGAGCCCCATCGTCCTATTCAATTCATCTAACTTGCCGTCCATTCTGTTGAACTTGCTCTCGACCGTGTTCTTCAGATCCTGCATGACTCCAAAGATATTCCTGTACGGAGTGTACATCAAAAAGAACGGTATCCTGGCAGGTTCCACCATCGGTGCCAAATCATACTTGGCGTCAGAAGCCAGAGAAAAGAACTCCCTCATACACAAACTGACTATCTCAAACTCCTCTCTCTTGCCGTTCATCAACAAGCCCATCGCCGCGATCTTTGTGTCTGCACCAATCATGTCGTCCTTCAATACATTGTACAGCCGATTGACCTGGAACAGCTTCTCAAAGACCTTCCCTGGCTTCTCCGTGATCTCAAAGCACATGTACTCCCCCTTTCTAATCTCAAAGTGCTCATACGAGACTCCAGGCTGTCCGAATATCTTCACGTCCGCAGCGGGTTGGTCGATCACGTCCTTGAAGATGGTTTCAAGATCCGTGTCCTCGTCAAAGCTCACGCACAGGTCGGCTTGGAATTCTGTTACTTTTTTTAAGTCTGGAGTTTTAGGATCCAATCGACTGATCGTCAAGTGACTCTCATCATGGCATTCCTTCAAGCGTTTGCTATACTCATTGCACGCGGCGTCGACCGCAGCGTTAAACCTCTTCATGTAGCCATCAGTGAGAACGCCACTCTCTGCGAGCTTGCGACTCATCTCCTTGTCCACTCGGAGTTTCTCCCGTCGTATACAGCCTGGACTCGCACATCTGCTGAGGATAAGACTTTCATACGCGCCCATATGATGCACGAGGTCGAGAGGAGATCTCAGGCATTGATAGTCAGCCTTGCCTGATGGATCAGGCTTGCTCGAGCTGAGCATGCGGTGGGGCCATTGCAGCAAGCTGTGCATGCGGTACTGAGGCTTGCGTCTCATCCAGCCTGGACTCGCACATCTGCTGAGGATAAGACTTTCATACGCGCCCATATGATGCACGAGGTTGAGAGGAGATCTCAGGCATTGATAGTCAGCCTTGCCCTGCATTCTTGATGGATCAGGCTTTCTCGAGCTGAGCATGCGGTGGGGCCATTGCAGCAAGCTGTGCATGCGGTCACGGTAGCAGCACCTATGTAGCGACTTGACAGTAGTATTCATGTCCTGATTGTCCTCACACTGATCGTAGCCAAGCAACCTGCCGCAGCTTTGGGGAAACTGGACTTTTAAACTGATTATACAAAGCCTCTTTTTAAATCCGCCCAGCCCTACCACATTCTACAACCCTTTTTGGAAACCTCCATACGAATCTCTGTACCGTGTAGAGCCCATCCTGACAAAGTTTGGTAGGGCCACACGACCTCCCCCGTACCTCCTCGTGTACCAGTTGTACCTCATATGTATAAGAGCTCCAGTACCTTGCAGTTCCCAAGAAATGAGATATCAACCTCACCTCGTACAAACCCAGCGCTTCATGCGACCCAAGACCGTACGGTGTGACTACCCGTGCTCAACTGCTGAGCCCTGAGTCAACAACAGGGGTGGGGAGCGTAGTGTTTGTTGCCGCCAACAAACTTTTTGAAGTTTCCCGCCAGAACTGATCGGAAGCCGCGTCCGAGACTCCGACTGAGTTCCCGCCTTTCTGATTCCCGCCGTCAAAGTCCGCGGCAGGGGCCGGGTGACGACCGCAGGACGCCGGGCGACTTCGATCATCCCCGCCTGCCTCGCACTGCGGCAACCGTGCCGCCGCACTGCAGCGGGAGTCAGCCCTGGCAGTTCGGCCCGGTGCACCGAGAAAATCAGGACTCGAGATCGGATTATCCGAAGTTGAATCCGGCGTGCCGCAGTGCCACGCCCGGCGCCCGGAGTCCGTGTCACCCAGTCCGCCGGACTCCGGAGTCACCGTCCCCGCCGGCCGGCGGGCCGGCGCGGCTCCGACTCGGCGGCGCCCGGCGCCGCCCCCGGCCGCGGTCGGCAGCACAGTGACTGGTCGGGTCCGATGATCACCCGCCGACGGTACCGCCGCCGACTCCGACGGTCGGACTCAGAGGCTCAGTGACCGGGTACTACTACCCGGGAGCCCCCGGGCCCCGGGGCAAGCGCCGGGCCGCGCCGCGGCCGATCGCCGCACTGCCAGTCCCGGCAGGCCCGGCTCACTGACTCTGACTGGTGATGCGGCATCGAGGGTTGTCCGGTTCCAGCGGCTCACGGTCACTCAGCCTCGGACCGTCGTACCGTCACGGTCAAGCCTCCTCGATTCTTGAAGAGAGTCTCCTGATTATCCACGTACTCAGTGATCAAGTTTAGATTGCACACCGTCTACCGCACAGCGGCACTGCCAGTGATCAGGATCGGAGAGTCACACTGAAGGCTGCTGAGCCGCCGCGTTCTCCGGCGGCCCGACGGCTGGGACACTGCAAGGGATGAAAGTTCGAGGGGCAGACTCGGATGCTTTCTAGCAGACTGATGAAATCAGTGAAGCTCCTTCACTGTAGGCCCTGACTCCAGCAGTAATAGTGAACTCAGTCCCGCCGTCAAAGCCTATCCACGGCCGGCGTGCCAAGGATCATTGTATTTCCAAAGTTAGTCGCATGATGTCTTCGGCAATGCGGCGGCCGCGCCAGTCCGGGCCGCGAGGCTCAGCGGCTCTCTCATTCTACTGAAGTTTCAATACGTACTTTATTCCCATCCCTCGCTACGGTGAGCCACTGTTACCATTGCCACTGGATACACAAACATCAGCCACCATCCACAAGCATGCAACAGGTCTTGACAGTCATGGGCCACTGTTCGCAGTAAGAGTCGTTTGACCAAAGGCGATTATGGTACGATATTAAGATGCTTCAGTACGAGCCCCATCGTCCTATTCAATTCATCTAACTTGCCGTCCATTTCATTGAACTTGCCCTCCATTTTGTTGAACTTGCTCTCGACCGTGTTCTTCAGATCCTGCATGACTCCAAAGATATTCCTGTACGGAGTGTACATCAAAAAGAACGGTATCCTGGCAGGTTCCACCATCGGTGCCAAATCATACTTGGCGTCAGAAGCCAGAGAAAAGAACTCCCTCATACACAAACTGACTATCTCAAACTCCTCTCTCTTGCCGTTCATCAACAAGCCCATCGCCGCGATCTTTGTGTCTGCACCAATCATGTCGTCCTTCAATACATTGTACAGCCGATTGACCTGGAACAGCTTCTCAAAGACCTTCCCTGGCTTCTCCGTGATCTCAAAGCACATGTACTCC